AACAGATGCACGGTTTACGTTTAAGGTTATTATTTCTTGGTTAAGTGGAACTAAAACGAAAAATCGATCGTCTATTTATAGCTTTTTCTGCATCGCCACGAAATTTGCTTTCTACAGAGGTTTCCAGGTCACGCCCCGCTGAAAAATTTCACGAGCCGACAATTTGGACGACCCGCTGCTGTATACCCTCGGTTTTCCTTCCAATTGTCGATGCATGCGACAGGCTAGAAAGGGTGGTCGCCGATTCTTTCAGAAGAAAAGCCCGTTGGAGAGTAAAGATTTTCACCAAAACAGGTGACAGTTGATGCGTCGATCACAATTAGTTTGATGCAGGACACAGTGTGCGGCGTGAATAAACAACAAGGAACCCCGCTATTACGGATCTCCATCTTGAATATCTCGGGGTGCAATGGAAGCTCTAGAGAGGAGCGTCGCTCGTCCGCGCTCGCCGCGATTTCGCAAAACGCAGACGAGCCCGGCGTCGTCGCGGGAGAGAGTCTGCCGTCGCGCGTGACGTTGGATCCCCGCGGGGACACTCCGGCGCGCGTCGATCCCGACGACGCGACGCTCGGCCGAGGCGCCCGATCCGCGAGGACGATCGAGCTGCTCCACTTTCGCTGGCCGCGAGCTGGACGAACCAATAATAGCCGCCCGGGGCTGGCCGCGAGAGACGATGCCGCTTCGATAGTGCCACCGTTCGCTCGTGTCCGCGCGTACACGAATACGCTACTAACGGCGAGCTCCCGCGCGTCGAGCAAGTAAAAGCATTGTCGTGTACGCACGCCGACATTTGGATTCGACGACAGCTGATTATTTTCTCGGCGATAATCGCGGCCTCGGCGGGCTTGTCGGCCGCGATCCGGGCGAGCGGCGCGCCAGGCACAATGGGAGCTTGCCGCTCGGCGGCGGCGAGCCCCCAACGATCAAACTGACAAGCGGTCTTATCTCCGCGATGCGAAATTACGAGAGGGATGCCCGCGCAGTGACCCCGAATCGCGTTTTTTCACTTTTTTTTTTTTTTCACCTTCCCCGTTATGAATATTTCAGCGCGCCGCTGCCTCTGCTCGCGGCAATCGATACACCTACGGGCTCTTTTGTTCTCACTCACCGGTTTATTCAAGGTGCTCGCGACTCGTTTTTTCCTTCCCAATGAGTTTCCACTTCCGATCGTATTTCTCCTTTAGACATTCGGTCGCAACTTGGTTGTCGGGTTATAGGAAAAATAAGCACGTCATCGGATGCTATAGTCCTTGTAGTCTTTAGTTAGCTATCGCGGTGTATTATAAACCAAGTATTTTCGCGAAGCGCCGACGACAAGTTGGACTTCGTTGAGAAGTAGTTCTGTGTTTTGCTTCTGCATGTATATGTTTGTTTGAAAAGCGATTAGGCACCCCCTTAACGCGCTCGTCGTGAACGCTGTCCATATATACGCGCGAAGGTGCTTGACTTGGCTAAACCGAATCGATCGAGCTCTATCTCCAAATCGAATCGACTCAGCTGCACCTCGCGAAATTACGTCAATTCGATCCTCGCCAAACAGTGTGGTAATTGTTTTACTCGACGCTGCATACACTGGTTTGTTTGCCCGCACATAAAAATTGATCGATCTCGGCTTAATTACAGCCCTGTCTCGCTCTCCCGAAAAAAAGGCAATTATCGAAAATAACGAGTTTGCAAACGGAACAACGCAAATTAAAATCCACTCGAGCCGCATCGCTCGAAATCCGATTTCTTTTTCCCAGAGCAATCATAGTCGGCCGGGTATTTTCTCGTTACGGAAGTCCTTACTGGCGTGTTTTCCATGTGCTGTCATCGGCAGTCACAATGAAAACCAAATCGACTTCTTTCCGTTTCTCTCTGTGTCTTGGTCGGTAAGTAAATCGTCGCTCGCGCATTGCACACACGCATGTGCGCGATACGGCCTTATCTGGTTGACCTTAGTAGGCAGCTCGCGCGAGAATGTCGACGGCGCTTATCGCGATGAGCCTCGCTGTGACCGCGGATTTCGCGCGGGCTTCAGTCCACAGTCCTGCAACTCGCAGTCGTGGTGAGGTGCGGGCGCGCGTTGGGATGTGCCTCTGCAGCGAATGGGTCGTGTCGCTTCCGAACCGTGTACAGCTTGGCGTAATGATGTGCGACGCGCGTCGCTCCACAACGAAGCTCAGACGAACCAACCAATTGCGAAAGCTCGGACAATTTCACGGTTTCAGGATTCGCGCGTGCTATCGCGCAGAATTCATTCGAGGGCCACGGCATCTGTTCCGCTCGCGGTCATTGGCATTTATCATTTCGCACGTGTCTGCGCTTACATTAGGACTTGGGACGAAGGTACCATCGTAGCACTTTCGTCCCAACCCCCTCCCCCTTCCCAGGTCTGCGTGGAAACGATAAACCGCCCCGACAGTTGACTTTTACTAGACCGGAAAGAATCGCAAAAAATCGCTTTTCTTCGATACGACAAACGACCATAAGGCATTGCGCGCCTCAAAATCGAGCACAGCGTCTAGTTGCAGTATGCAGGCGAGCGTCTCAACGGGTGGTATTTCGCCGTCTTTATCTCGCTGATGAGCCGCGAGCGCGCCGCAAGAGGCGGCTATCCGCATGGCCGACCGAGCGGCGACTTTTATGGTGCTCTCGTGTCGTTACGTCATCGCGCGCCACGGCCTCGAGCTACCATAGCGATGTACGTTTCGTCCAAGATGAGATCGTGGCGACGTCGAGAAAATGACGACGCTTCCACGGCCAGGATTGAGAGGCGAGCGAAGCGGAGCGTTGCTTTCGGAGGTGGCGGCGCGTCCTCCAAGCGACACGAGCGCGTTTCGTACAATCGATTCGAGCCGTGCTAATTGTGACTTCGAACTCGGCCAGCCGGCATCCGAGACAAATTGCAATGTGCGACGCCAAGCTGAATGAGAAAAAGACAACGTCGACCACAAGGCCAATGAAAATTCAAGAGATAATTGTCGTCGTGCTCCGAAAAACTCGAGCTCAACGACGCGAGGAGCAAGCGCCGAAACACGGCCGCGACGATTGCGAGCGCAGGAAGGGGTTGACGCCCGCCGACGTTCAGAAAAAAAAGAAAATACAAAAAAAAACGAAGCAAAATTTTTTTTTTCTCTCCACTGCAGCTACACGGACGCCGATGGCGCGGCGAGCGACGAGTCATTTATCACCTGGCGTCGTCTCGTTAGCTCTCGCTCGGCTCTTTTCTTTCTGTTTTCAATGTTTCCGCACGCCGCGCGTCTGACTCATCTCGAGCTGCAACCGAAGCCACCTGTGAAAATCATGCTCCCGCGGCCGAGAAACAAACACCTGTTACAGCCCGCCTCGCTCCGATCTCTGTCTGTCTGTCTGTCTCTGTTCTGTCTCTCTCTCTCTCTCTCTCTCTCTCTCTCTCTCTCTCTCTCTCTCTCTCTTCACGTACATACACGTGCACGCAGCGCACACGGGCCGTAACGCGAGGAGCGCAGTGCGCTCGCGTCCTGCTCTCTCAGTCTGTTTGTTTTCGCGCACATTGCCTATATATATATTTCGCGACGTGGCTGCGGCCGTACGTTCCTTCACTAATTATATATATATCGCGCCGAGCGGCTTCTTCTTACCGATAGAGTTTTGCGAGTCGACGCGCCTGGCTGACTGGCGGCAGCACTGTACGACCGCCTCTGCAACTGCGACTTTATCGGCAAGAGCTATGCGTGCACGAAAGGCCGGCGCCTTCGATTTCAAACGAATGTGTCAGCGCCGTTGCGACTTCGCCAGTTTCCTTGAATCACGAAGGGAAAACGAGCGAAAGCAACAGCGGACGGCAAAAACTCCTGCGTCACCGGGACAGACTTGGATTACGTCAGTGGTTGCTCCTGTATATACATCCGCTTGCGTGACTGTCTTTCGCGACGCGGATCTTGCGCGCATACGTGCGCAAACGGTCTCGTACCACGTATTTGCGAGCGAACGAGCGATTCCTCCCGCGCGAAAAATCAGCGAGCCACCCCGACGCTTTCGTCATCGCATTTGCGTCTCTACCTCACGCGTCGCGAGTGAGTCGTCGCCCTCTCTGCGCGCGTCTCCAAGCCCCGTAATCCCGAGGTCGAAGACCGAAGGTTTACACTAGGCGTAAACCTCCGAAAGCTGACTTCATCTCACGATTCTTTTTAGGCTCGACGCTCGCCTGGATATTAAAACGCGGAGAGCGAGAGCGAAGTATTTATCGAGATTATGAATCAACATGTGATAGAGATGCCGTTGTGAATGCTTACGAAATTGCGCTCTGCGTGAAATTTCTTTTGAGATATTATTACCTCTGTACGGTAAAAGTTTTCACTACCCGTACGGTGCCAAAGAAGCTTGCAGAAATGATGAGCTCTTGCGCCTAATGACACAGCTTTTAGAAGGGTCGTCGCACGGGCGAACGGAAGAAAAAAAAAAGAGCAGCAACGCTGCAAAATTGCGTTTTCCCGAGGGATGAGCAGCAACTAGACCGTCGGGTCAATCTAGATTTTTTCCTAGATAGAGAGCTGCCTTGGAAAAAAGCGTTTGAAAGAACGCCGTAAATTTTTGTGCTGCTGGCTTTAGCTCGCAACGAAGAGTGCACGTGTCTGTGTTTGATGTTTTATTTACAAATTCAATAATGTCCATATTTTATGTGAACAATGACGCTTGCAGTGCTGGAAATGGCTTATATTGTTAAATAAATATATTGTTCCTAATTATCGAGGTAATCGACGATTAGAGACTTTTTTCATAAGAGTCATAGGACATCGGACATCCAACGCCAGACATGTACAAAGGTGTAAAACTGAATTATTTATTTAACATTAGTTAGTAAAATAAAAATAAATGTTCTATGTGATATTTTCAGACCATGCACAAATCTTTGGTAAAATAATAACAAACAATTAATTCGTTTTTTTACCGTAGTATCCAACCAACATTCGAAGTCCGATGTTCCATGACTCTTATAGACAGTTCCTTATCAGAAAAGTAAACATCATATACGGAAATAGCTTTTATTACAATCGCTCAAACTTCATTTGAAATATATTTAATAAAAAATACATGCTTCATTTTTCACTCTTTGTAGGTATTAATATTACATAATAAATTGTTTTTCTATTAACACAAATTAATTGAATAATTTCACAACAAAGCTTACGCTTTAATTGTAATTATTATTTCAATAACAAACGACAAACGTAATTGGCAACGATGCAATTGTTATTTTCTTAATATCATTCAACCGTTCACATAATATAAATTAAATAGATTTTTTTATATTACTCGCAAAGGTTTTGATTAGATCACAAAAAGCTAATCCAAATATTGACATCCTTGAAAATTATTCCTATTTAACGGAAATAATAAATTTCGACATAGTTGCTTGAGAAAGCTCGTAATCAATAACGGCATAAATTCAATACTATAATATCAACGATCTATTTGCTCATTTCCTGAACTAGTAAAGTATAAAACACAATCATGATCCATTGTAAAACTTGAGATAATAATCTGGCTGCGATCTGAAAAACAACAGAGTTTTTCTCGATACGATCGCACGAATCGCATCCCCTCTCCACTCTTCTATATAATTATGACAATGCTGGAAGAAGAAGCAATAACGGCAATCGTAAAATCGTTCGATACGCTATTACAAAAATTTATTAGGAAATAATAGCTTTCAGTTTTGTTCACAGATTTTCTTTTTCTTCATTAACAGAATAGTAGCCAAATAAACAAAGGGATCGACAGGTCACTTACGTAACACTCATCGACGCATAATTTGGGGTCACTGTTAGATCCAATAATTTTTCCGTTCTCAGCGCAAGCTCTTGGTTGAAAAGAAGCCCGATATACTTTTTTTCATTGTCTTACAGTTTTTCAATCATTTCTAAAATTTTTTCTGCTGTATACAAATGTTCACAATTTTCGATTTCAAGTAATTCATGCAAGCTGAAGACAAATATACGTAAATTATAATATTTTATGTATTTATGACTTCACAGGGATTGCAGAAAATTAAGCTTATTACCTCATACATCCAGAATCTGATAATTTTTTACCGCTAATTCTTAAAAAAAAATTATGGATAATGGTTATTATTGAATATTCAAGTTCTAGAAATAATTTTAATAAGTATAAAAGTAAGTGTATTACTGAAAAGCATCCAAATTCAAAAGTCTGTTTGCATTTATACACTTTTTTACATATTTGATCTCAAACACAATTTGATCTGATGGAGGCTTATATTTGTCACTTGCTAAATTTATATATTTGCTGTCTTCTGGATCAAAACCCATGAACTCACCACCTTGCTCCTGTTAATAAAAATAGATTTAAAGATCAATCAAATAAACTAATATTTGAAATGATTAATTGATACTCAAATACAATATTATTGATCATTATTGTGTAGAAAATAGTTACCTTTATATGTTTTATAACTCTTTTACATTCAATGGCCAGCAAGTTCTTACGAATGATTGAAAATTGCATGGGACTATTTTTTACTGGAGCAAATAATTGTCTAGGTTGGCTCTGTTCTGCCTCCATGTTGCATTAGATTACATTTATTTACTAATAGTAAATACAGTTAAATAAACGAAGTAAATAAGGTAGAAGTAAGTAGGGTAAAATTGGAAATGGGGTAGTTGGAAATGTCACTTTCCGAGCAAACTATTAAAGTATATTTGTCATGCGCTACCGACGTGTATTTGTAATGACCGTAAGCAAATATTTATGGTATGCTAACGCGTGCACACGTATCTTTGTGCTCTAGAATTTCTTAAAGTTTTTAAAAAATTTCTCACTTTACCCCATTTATCTCTACAATAATAAAGTATAAATAAATAAGAATATTCAAAGCGCATAAAGTTATGACTAAAATATGTTCAAATACGGACTTGTTTAAATGAATATTACAATTTGTAAGACCACAATCATAACCTATTCCGCGATCGACGAGTGTCTGTTCAATTACGTTAAATAAATAAAATCACTTATCAAATAACAAAAACAAGACAGAAAAAGAAAGATAGAAGATCTATTTGTATTTCATGTATGTGTGTGCATGCATATATACGAAATAAACTACGGCGACCTACCTAATGAAAGCCGCATGTAGTTTGTATATGCAGCCGAGGCCAGCCGAGAAAAATTTTTTGCTTGCGCATGCGTTCAGAGGTTAATGATCAGCCTTATTATTTAAAAATGTAGCGGGTCGCATTGAGTAAAATCAAAAATTCACTTAAGGAGAACTTTTAAAGCTATGAAATTTCAAAGGATTGAAAAATAAATATTCAGGCATTTAAGAAAGCTTCCCAGGAAAAGAATCTATTGAATGAATATCGCATCGTTAGTTTATGACCGTCAGAAACCATGATCTTCTGGCTTTCATATTAATAATTGTGAAAAGAGACATCATCGCATGAGAGCTTCTTTTGATGAAGTATCAACTTATTAAAGTACAAAAAGAACGTTATCAGAAGAACTTTTGGTGGGAGAAAATCAAATAAAATCAACGTGCAAACGAAGTTGACTAGTAACAAAACAAGACGCGTGGGTGTGTGTGCGTCGGCCATGGTGGGGGCTCTCAACTCAACTCGGCTCTCGCTCGAGTAGGATAGCTCTCCCGTCGGCCAGTGGCACGCAGTGGCACGTACACGTTCACACGTAGCCGAACGAACGTTCAGGGAGAGCGAGAGAAAACTCTAGGCTTTCAGCCGCCTCGCGAGAGAAACACAGAGAAGAAACGAAAGAGAGAGAAAGAGAACGAGCGAGAGTTTCAAACAACGCCCGATAAGATGGACTTATGTCCAAGCCAGCGCGAGCGCGCGTGAACAACAATATAAGACAGCGCCGAGAAAACAAGGCGAGCAACGAACCATTCGTGTGCGCGGCTGATCTGTGCATGTGTATGAGTTCTTGAGTGTTTCATATATCCGCGGAAAGAGAATCCAACTTCGCGTCCACCGCACGAACGGGAGAGACGACGAGTGTGAGTGAACGAGGCACAGAAGAGAGAGAGAAAGAGACAGAGAATCAGAATGGAGGCGATAGCGAAGCACGACTTCACTGCCACCGCTGAGGACGAGTTGAGCTTCCGTAGGAGCCAGGTGCTCAAGGTCTGACGCTTTATCCTCTTCGAATTTAGTTTAAATCTTCAACTGAGCCCCTCCCCCGCGCGGGCTCTCTCTCTTTCTAAAGTAGTTCCCGAAGTTTCGTTAAATGGCCGTCGCTATATACCATCAGAGCTCGGTCCTGCTCGTAGCTTTCGTATTTTTCCTTCATCTCGTACTCCTACAGTTTTCTTTTTTTGTCTTTTTTTTGTTTGTTTGCGTGACGGACGAACGCAAGCTCGATCTCGTTCTTTATGGTGATCCAGGTAGCCGCTCTCGGTGAATCACGCTGACGCAAGCAAAGACACGTGGGATATTTCGGGACTAGCGACGGCCCACTTTCTCGCGAAGACCGAGAGTAGTTGCTGCACGGAGTTCTGCCGAATTTGGAGGATCGGCTTTCACATGTGCGCCTAAACACAGCTGTTTATGCGGTCTGTACGCGGCCGTCACGACGACAGCCATCAGATCTTTTTCGAATACGGACTCGAGAATTTTATCGGGCACGCGAGATATTTTCATGATTCACTGATTACTGATGCACTCCGTGTTTTTCAGAGACGTTTAGAATGTAAAGCATTATCGCTTGCCACGGCTTATTTGTTTTCCATGATGAATTTAGTTAGACTTTTTTCTTCTCTTGAGTTATTTAAGCGTTTCTCGGCAAAATCAAAACTGGATTGGCTAATTATTTTAATCCTTATTCGAAAACAAAAGCTTAAATTAACCGCGCAATGTGACTTTATGATAAACAACTATTTAATTAAGTAGGTTTGTGTGTTACAAGAATACCCTGCAAAGGAAAATAATGAAACTACTTCTAGAGTTAAAGAAGCTACGATAAATTAATCAGTCTATCAATAGTCATTTTCAATAATAAACTACTCACGTCCTTCAAGATTCATCAGAATCGAAATTCGATTTGCAGATCCTGAACATGGAAGATGATATGAATTGGTATAGAGCTGAGCTTGACTCGCGGGAAGGTCTTATCCCCAGTAATTACATAGAAATGAAAAATCATGAGTAAGTTCACGTATACTTTGTAAAATATATTTCAATCGAAGAAATGAAATATTGTTAATTGATTTTTTAACAATGTTGCAGCTGGTACTACGGCAGGATAACTCGAGCAGACGCCGAGAGGCTACTAATGAATAAGCACGAGGGGGCCTTTCTCATAAGGATCAGCGAAAGTTCGCCTGGTGACTTTTCTCTTTCCGTCAAGTAAGTTCTTATCCGCGTTTCTATCGTACCAAAATGTATATTGAGAGCCACGCAATTCGTCAATGATACTGGCAAATAATTTTGTTAAGAAGTTACGTAGTAATTTACCTAATTGTCCGGTTTACGTTTGTAATTGTTTCTTTTCTGATGACGACCTTCATTTGTGATTATTTATAAAGAGTCTATTTAAAGTTGACGTCCTTCGAAAAAATATATTACTTTATATTTTATTAACGTAATAAAGATTTTGTTGCTATCACTGATACAATTATTAGTTACGAAAAATTTACGTGTAAGGCGAAATTATCGAGGTTTCAACTTATGAAATTTAACGATCAACGTCACTGTTAATGTGGACTATTTCAACGTGTTGTTTTAAATTACAGATGCTCGGACGGTGTGCAGCATTTCAAAGTTCTACGGGACGCTCAAGGCAAGTTTTTCCTATGGGTGGTAAAGTTCAGCAGTCTGAATGAACTGGTAGAGTACCATCGCACCGCGTCAGTATCGCGATCGCAAGACGTGAAGCTGCGCGACATGGTGCCCGAAGAGGTGAGTTACATGAAATTTTGTAACGCCAGCAAGCAATTGCAGGCTGTAATACATTCGCGAACAACGGCAGTGGTAGTAGTAGTTGCAGCGCAATTACGAAAGTGATTCGCGGCCTTGACGTCACGCGCCAGCCGCCAACAAGCGTTCGTTTTTCCTCATTATAACCAATTTTTGTGTCTATGTTGTTGTTGCTAGTGTTTGGTGCAGGCTCTGTACGACTTCACACCTCAGGAGCCTGGTGAATTGGAGTTCAGGCGAGGTGATGTTATTACTGTGACTGATCGTACGGATCAACACTGGTGGCATGGTGAGATTGGCAATCGACGGGGATTGTTCCCATCCACCTACGTTACTCCATATCACTCCTAGGTAAATATCATGATTTTTAGTAATCCTAATTAACAAAAAGATAATTTAGTATTTACTAGATATGTTTAATGTTTACAGGCTTCGCGAGGCGAGCATAGATGGCGCGGAGACTCGGCGGCGGCGATGCCAATAATCTCGCTGATCATGGTTACAAGAGAATTGGTAATCAGAATCCTGCAGACGTCGTTGATCGAGTGGGCCGCCTGTGTGTACGGCTGGTCGAGGCGACGCGCCACTGCCGGTCGGTGCAATTGAGAACTCTCTTCACGTTTTTCTTTCAACGATAACAACCTTTATTCACGGTGCTCATCTGCTTCGCGCTTGTTATATTCGACGACGAATCTCTCCGAGACATCACGCACGTACACATCTACACATGTTGCGATGCCTTTTTTTGTTCTTGACGAAGCTTAGTATTGCGAGCTTAGTATAGCGATTGTGTTAAACTTACTCTTTTTTCGTAGTTTTTTAGTCAACTCGTGTTATCATTTTCTTTTTTTGTACGATAACTTTTCCGAAGAGATATTGGAATTCAATTTGAATTCATGCTCCTTAAACTTTAAGTATTAAGTGTCATTGAATATTATGCTTGACTAAATTTTCAATCCGCACCTGTACTGAATCTTTAATGCGTCAAAGAGACAGTATCGATTACTTCTCGTGCGGAAAATGAAATAATTATTGTAACAATATTTACTTGATAAGAGAAACAACAACAACAAATATGAAAAATCTATTATTATGTAAATGGCTAGCGCTGGTCTACAAAATGCCACACAGTGTTATCGAACTCATTTATCAGTAGAATTGTAAAATCCACATATATACATATATATATACACATATTTGTGTGTGCGTGTGTGTCTGTCTGTATGTGTGTGGGTGTGGGAAAAGCGTGAAAGAAAACGTTGCTGTAAAATAATTCTTGCAATTGAATATGCAAAGAAATAAACTATTGAAAAAACGCACTTTTACGATTATGTTTTTGCGTTTAACTACATTATATGTATTTGCCTGCGTATGTTGAGAGAAAGAGAGAGAGAGAAAGAGAGAGAAAAAGAGAGCGAACGAGAGAAAGAGAGCACGTTAGAAAGAGATTTTTTGTTTTTTTGTAATTGAACGGCAAAGACAGAATATGTGCCAGACTTACGGCGTTTCAGTAAGTTTTTTCTATGATCTCTTGATTTATTCGATTGTGAACAGTATATTTTGTTTGTCGGCGAAACCAAGTATTTTACAATAAAACAATACTTTGTGAGTTTTATTGGCAATAATTAACTTTTGTTTTTATAATTAATAACAATTAATCATTGATTGCTTCGTGCTGTTTCCTGGATACGGTATTATTGTAGCTTTTGTGATTGTTCATCGATGAGGGTGACTATTGTAAATTACTGAATAATTCATATATTTCTTGCTATAGTAAAATCCCAATATTAAAATCTTAGATAACGATCATCTTTACAATGCATGGTGAACTAAACAATTTTCTAAGATTAGTATATCAGTGGTTAGTAACAAGAATTAATTTCTAAAACTTTAAAAAGTGAAATTGTGTGATAAATTTTTAAATTTAATTATCATAAATTTCTTCACCTTTGTGAATATCATTATTAAGTAATAAGATGAGTTTGAAAGCACGAGAGTCAAAGGACACCAGTTCGAAAGAAAATAAGACAACTGATTGTTAATCTGTGCTAAGTTTCTTTGTTTGGGATGGATAATATGAATAATTATATGAAAGTATTCACACTTATCTGAAAAATACTTATCTTATGTCTCACATTCATATGCTACATTTTTCTGTAAGAAGAGATGGAAGACTAAAAAAAGCTTGGAAACTATTTTTCTTCTTCATAGTTACTAAGAAATTATATTATTCTGATATCGTAAAAACAAAAGTATCTAGTAAAATTCTATGCTTCATCAACAACCAAGCCATTTCCAAACAAAAGAATTCATATTGAGCAATTGCCATTAATGACTAAATGAATTGTTGCATTGAACTTTAATAAGTTTACTGACACCAAATATTGGAATTTCATAGTTCTCTAAAATATGTATAGATAAAACGTGATTGTAAAGATAATACAATTCGTTTAAAGCCTACAAAGTCAAAACACTAGGAGAATGTGTGTCCCAGCACAGATGAAACTATGAATAATCCACTCATTAAATCCAGAACTGATTTTGCCAAGTTGGACTTGGAATGAACATAGGAATGAAGTCAACTTCAAAAGCAATTTACAACTTTTGTAGTTTTGCACAATGCACAATGCACACGCAGTAATTAATTTCAAATTACAGTTCATTAATTACAAAAAGTTAGTTTCCAATGTGGGAATTACTTTTCAAATCCAAAATAGTAATCTTAGAAAGCCAACTATTGTAATGTTATTATTAATATAATAAATACATGCAATAACGTAGAATAATAATATTTTCAATTTTGCAGATTCCAAAAAATTATGTGTGGTGAACACATTACAAGAAATTAGATTTGATAGATTTAATTAAGATAAGATTTTTGAAAATGAAGTACATATTTGTATTATTATATGAAAAAAGTTTTCTACTAATCAATAACATGATCCATTTTAGACACATACATACACACACAGAGTATTGATGATTTATTAAATGACAATATTATTGATAATATCTAGTGTTTTTTTAATGATTTTAATTTCTTTACTATAATGCTTATCATGGTCGATTTCTTTATGCTTTGAATAAGTATATATAAAGAAATCGATCAAATTAATGGATGTAGAAATAAAACAATGAGACTCATATCGAAATTGACGGGAATAAGTAACATTTATCACCTATAAATAGACAAAATAGTTAATTAATTAATAAACAAATATTTGTTTATATTCAATAAACATGTTTATTTCAGATAGGCCTGTTTAGTTTAATATTAAAGTCATTAACGAACATCTTTCATTGCTTACTCACTGTACATAATGTTTGCAGAACATGCAAAAATCCCAGATTTCATGTATATTAACTCTTATTTTAGGTGTATAAAAAGATATTCATTTATACTTATCTGCAAAATATATCACATTGAATTCTGTGATTAGGGTATTTAATAATTTCCTTAAGGTTTTTTTACCTGCAGCTCACTCTACGTATGTATATGTGATATATCCGCTATATATTTTTTATTCTTCATTAATTAATTTATTATTAAGACAAGAAAAGTTTGTAACAGTCATTTTTTTATGACTAATTATTTGCAGTGTCTAGATACAATATCAGTTAAAACAATTTTGAGTATGAAAAAGTTAATAAAATATTGTTGTTTTGTTCTATTATCTTTGATGATATTTTTTGAAAGCATGGAATAATAGAACTGCTGTGAAACAGGAACATAAACTATGAGCTGTAGCGTTGTAAAAGCATGTTGTAAGATGCTATAATCCACCAGCTTAATTTAGAGTTAGTGACAGAAACTGTCAATAAAACACCTATTTGTTTAAGTGAGATGAAATTAATTGAAAATTCAAGCAAATTAGATAAATATCATAGACAAAATGATTCATAATAATTTGTATTGGGTCATTGGATATATTGTTTTGTCATCATAATTTTCAAATCTATTTATATATAAGTATTACAAATTTTTGTATTTTATAAAGTAATGAAATCATTGTATATTGCTGATACAAGGATATTTAAATAAATAAATATATATTTTAAAGCACTATATTATTTTAATCATTTACTTTAAACAACGTATTTTACAAAGAACATGAATGTGAATCTTATCTATAAATTAATCTTTCTAATACAATGAACTATACCCACAAGTCTTATGCATTAAAGTTCAAAGTAAGTTTTACTTTTCAATATTACAAAAGTATTTAGATCTTTTTTCTGATATTTTATGTCATTAACACACCAGCCTATAAGAGATATATCGTCCAGCAGTTTCTGAAGGTCTGATAATCTTCACAACTTGTCCTCTTTTCAAACCAAAGTATCTGGATACTGGATCATTTGCTTGGATACGCATAAGTTGATTCTCTTTCAGTTTATATCTGTTTAATAATTCCTCCTTTTCGTCTGGAGTCAAAACTATGTGTTCGGGTACTAATTCGTGTTCAGTGATATTGATCAACAGTTCAGACTCCAAAAATTGTTCCAGAATGTATTTAGGTGCCATGTCAACCAGTGATTGTTTGGCCGATGGTGTCATTCCCAACTGAACTACAATAATCGCTCTGTAAAATAAAAAAAGTATAAACAAAAGGAAAAGCAGAATTTCAATATTGCGACATCAAAGTAAATACCTGTGAATCTTTTCTTCTTGCATCCGCTGGCAGTAAGTCTTAATTGTTTTGATACCAATTTTAGGTTCATCCGGGAAGAAGACAAATAACTGGTCAGTAGGATCGTCATTGTGAGCGACTAAAACGATCAAATCACTTCTAGCCGGTCGTTTCTCACTGGGTTTGTCACCAAATTGTTCCTTGAACTGCTCGAGAGTTTGATCCAATTCATCTTGGGTGACAAGATAACCTCTGTCATGACATAGCTGCATTACTGTCTTACGAATTCTCCAGAGCTTGTACGTTTCCGCTTCGTCATCCATTGTTCACTGAATCAATTTCAATCACTTTTATCTATAGTAACTAATCGTTGTTCTTTTAATATCAGAATTTTGCATAAAATATCGAGGAAATTGATCACAAGGTACAATATCTCGTGTAACGTTTGGCAATATCATTATGATCTATGGACGTTGGGCGATATATACACAAGTGGCCATAACCTTTAAAATCTTGCCGTCTTGTTGTCAGGTTTGCATCATAAGACGGCAGATGGCAGACCACGTCGGTGTTAAAAATAATCAATTCTATTGGCAGCAAATTTGAATTTACGAATGCCCGTAAGCTTATTACAGTCGTAACGAAATTCCGAGAATTCACATCCGCCGATGAAAAAAACATTTACACGAATTAAAACTATCACCATGGGATGTTTCCATCGCAATGAGGTTATCGGAATATTCCACTATAGATAGGCCCAATTTAATCTGGTACGTAAGGCAGATAGCTTATCTATGACGACCAGGTGACACACTGAATTGATAGGATTCGAGACTTAAAAAAAAAGCGCACCGATTTATCGCTTAAAAATAAAAAAGAAGAATTGGTGGATCCCACGACTTTATTGAGTTAACCAGAAAGCTGCGAGAAGGGCGACGCGGCAGCGTCTCCGAACGCGATCGCCACCTCCTGCAGGCTCGTCAAGGCGCGAGTGACTCTGGCTTGTTTTTTAACAGGCACTTCCTAGAATTTTAGTACAGCGGGCCATCGCCGCACTCGTTGATGGCGTTCAATACGATATTTCGAAGAAAAATCGCAACGCTTAAGCATAGATGCTTAAGCACAGCACAACGATTCGAGCGGCGACGACCATGGTAAAAGAAGAAGTATTATTGTACTAATAATGTTAATATAGTAGATCTATATTTTTTATGATTGCCCGCATCCTGCACAATCAGAGACACACCCAGATGTCAATCAAACAATCAGTTTTTTACCCTGATCATCTTGATACACGTCCAATGTCCCCTTACGTAGAAAGCCCCTTAGCCTCCCATTAAAATAATTTCCTCGGATTATATAGCAGCGAGCACGCGAGGCGAGGAGAGGCAGCGCGAGCGCTCGTTTTCTTCGGTTGCGACTCGAAGGCGAACGCCATGTCGAGGCGCGCACTTGTCCGTCTTTGCTCGTGCTTCCGGCTGTCCCTGCTGCTCTCGTTCCGAAGCGTTTTCCACATCGTTCGCGTTGTTTCTTCCACGAGGAATATCCTCTAAGCTCAAGCACCTAACGCACGCGTGAAAATGTGTCGTGCCTTACGAGCCAAGCCACTGGCGAGCTGACAGTGCTAGCGGCGCTGAAATACAGCGACAGGCGGGGCACGAAAATTCATCACGCCTGTCCTTGGATTGTCCAGTCAGAAGTAACGCAGACAAGCGCCTCATCTTTAAGCGCGACGATTAATGAAATCACATTATAATCGATAATCGGCAATTAGCTCGTCGATTATCTATGCGAGCTAAGCTTATAAACGAGCTACGCGATAACAACATTAATGTATGACTTTGGTGATACTTTGGATTCTTGGATTTTCGAATGCGTGATTTTGTTCGTGTTTCTCGCGAGAATAAATGCCGGGAGAAAGGTTCGGTTCGCTCGCACCGATTTCGGTCTCGTAAAATGCGAGCCGCGAGAAAACCTCTTGCAATTGATACTGCATCCTTGAACTTGTTTCGAACTGGAAGTAAAGCGTCGTTCAGCGAACTGCGAATCGATCGTTATCTTAGTCAGGGAAGCACTTGCCGCGACGTTTTCGCACCTCTGTTGCAATTGAGCTCCGAACCGCGCCTCTTTGAAATAATTGCTCGTACAAAAGTGTCACGCGAGCACGGGCATCGTTATCACGAAGCGACCGCGAAACGAAAAACTCTGCACTTGGATACTTATTTGCAATTTTAATAACGGCTCAAGCTGAAAGCCACTTGCGGCATTGTTCGATAAGCTTGTCGAATTTTATCAAATCCGCTCAAACATATTAGCGACGCCGATTATGATTCATCGCGTGTCAATGACATCGGCGACTGTACGTTATGGCGATTGCCAGGCGAGCTGTACGACAGAGTTCCGTTAGAAATATTGACATCGAGCGTCATTCGACTATAATGCGTTTAACGGAATGGTCAATTTTCGCCTCAATGAGCTGGGAGAAATGGAATTTACCACGCTACGTGATGCTGGCGATTTGGTTGTCCTCGCGAGTACCAAGAAGTACTCTCGTGCGGTGATGAACATTTCGAAGGACCGTCCTGCGTGCGGCAGACCTGGAATCGTCGGACCCACGGGAGCCAGCCAAATCAACAATTGGCATTGGAATACAGCGAGCTGAGTATTGTCGAAGGTCCTAAGATCGACATAAGGTTTTGGTTGGCTCTTGGATCAACGAGCTTGCTCGTTGCAACGATTGCTTTTTTTTCCGGAAAATCTAATAAAACGATTTTCAAATAATTTTGCGTCACATAACTTTTCAACGCTGTCTTCAATTATTCAGTAAGCGTTTGATCAGCCTACGAGTTATTGCGTGAATAAAGTACGTATTCATTTTAATTGCATAATCAAAAGACCAATGAGAAGCTGAAAGTAACGTGATGCAATGCAGATTCTTCGAGCTCTTTGTCGTTGCCATCACTCTGTCGTGAAAATATTTTTTTCGTAATGACACATAATGTTTTGAAGTTGAAAATAGTGTTTCCGTCGTACTTGACCCTTTTCTATTTCACTCCGAGTGGCATCATGAAAAATTTTACGTGCCATTGCAGCGTCATTTTTATTGTTTTACGGCTTATGCAAGAACGCATTTCGTTACTGTTGCGCTTGCAAGCGACATATCCGTTAGTGCCGTTGGTCCGGCATCTCGGAGTGCTTTATGTATCGATTTTTGAAATCGGGAAATGAAAATCGACGCTTTCACCGATTGTTATTTCGAGCTAGCCAACCCGGCCGTGCTTTCCGAAGCAGAACCAAAAAATTGGAATCACTCGACGAAGAGGACCGAGCTCAGCAGCGTGCACGTGCCGGGGTTATTAGCGTGACCGGCCATCGACGGCGTCAAAGGCGAGTCGCTCGAAAGAAGAAGAGTTTCCGTGCGGCGCTCACGCTGTCGCGATAAAATCGATGCAGGCACTCGTTCGGCACCGCGTTCTAATTCAATTGCGCTCCGCGATTTTGTTCCGTCTCGAAACAATGAACTCGGGCACGAAAGTCAAGGTAGACGCGGAAAAAAAGGAGTAGAGACGCTCTCTCTGTCTCTTGAGGGGCTCGCGCGCACGAGGACAAGGTCACGGATTACCGTACACATTTTTCAAGAATGACAGTGGCTATGACCGTGACCTCATGGACGATTCGTCTTCGATCGAACGGTGCGAGCCGAACGGCGGATTGATATGACTGCCCAGAGCCCGAACGTCTCTGTACGTTAAGAAACTCGTTTGCGAGCGTTCATTAGAAGAGCGGCAATTACAAGTTTTCGTAAGCAGCGGTCGATTTGACAACCCGTCTGCGTTGACATTTTCCACTTTTTTCCGCTAGTGCCGCGCGGGAAAGGACGCGGCGCGATGCACTTTCGAATTTCGACGTGGCGCCGTGAAATCGCGATTTCTTAACGTGAAAATGAAGCATTCCGGTCTCCCGCCGCGAGCATTGTCGCGCCCATTGAACAACCAAGAAAATTCACTTTCGAACGACGCATACGCGCGCATTTCGCTCTCCTCGCGATGGTGCGCAACCGGACGGTTCCGTAAAAACAGCGACGAGCCATCGCGCGATTCATCGGCGCGCAAAATATAATCAGTCACAGAGTTTCGCGCGCGACGTCTTCCGCGTTCGCCCAACTCCGTGGCCCGTGATGTAAGCGCGATCGAGGTCACCGCCGCGCCGAGAGGAAGGAAAAAAAGCTCCGGGAATCTCTCGGCCTCGCGCCCCGGGCTCGGCGCGGGACCCGAGCTTTCGAGGCAGCCCCCGCGAAAAGGACTCGCTTCGTCGGCGACCGTGCGTAGCTCATCGAAACGGGTCGCGCGCTTGTCGCCGGCGGCTCGCAGATTTTATCTCTCTCGAAATTTTTGAAGGCATTACCGACGCGCACTACCGTTAGAAGACACTGGCGGTTGAAACATTTGATAATGCACAGCCGTGTCCATTATCGAGTCCACTGTCGAGTCCGAGGAGCGGGCCGATCGAGCGAGCGGCGAGCTGGCTGCTATCCCGCGAATCGGAAGAGCGCATTCGCCGGGTCTCTCATAATCGTTGGCAGTTTGCAGCGCGGCGCGAAGTGACGCAAGACACTTAACGCTAGTGTTCTCTCTCTCTCTCTCGCGAAGCGTCATTGCGTCCACGCGACTCACCGCCGAAAGTGGACGGCGCGCGCGGCAATTTGCTCGGCCGTTCTCCGTTCTCGCGAGCGGAGCCGAGGGAGCGCGTTTCGGCGTCGCTCGTGCGATGAAAACCCATCTCGCAACTTCTCCGAAACGAGAGGGGAGAGGGAGAGCGAAGAGGAGAAAAATAATCGATCCGGCGACCGCAGCGGAGAGCAGTTTCTGCCAGAGGCAGCAGCTGCCGTTGCTCCGGGAGAGGACGGAGAAACAGGTTTTCTCTCTCCTCTCTCGGATCGCCAGGGCGTTAGTCGGCGCTGCGCTCCGCGACCTCTTTTTTTATTTTCGGAAAAGCCAGCGGAAAAATCAGGAAAGTGCCCGCAGCGAGGACTCCGTGAGCGCGCGACGCTTATTTGCACGCGCCGAACGCCCGGCAAACCGGTCGCCCGCTCCCGCGTGGCGCGTTTCGCGTTCGCCGATGAAGGAATTCGCGAGGCGTTGGCGCGCGTCAAGCGCCGAGCAATGTCACGCGCGCGCTTTTCGCGTTGACGCCGTTGAGTCAGTCGCCCGCCGCCTATGCCGGTCGACCGGAATTCGAAGAGAAAAAACACGCACGCACACGCGCGCGCGCGCACACACACACACACGCACGAAGCAGTCCATTAGCTCGCGGCCGCTTATTTATAGGACGAGTTGGCTGCGCCCGGCGAAAACGGTACTCTCCGCGCGGCAGGACCCGCTTCCAGAACGTCGTCGCTGCCGCGCCGTCTTATCAACGAATCGAATTACACGCTTTTCCAGGGAAATTGGGTAAGGCGGCGCGCTTCCCGACCTCCTCCCTCGTTTTTCGTGGCGTTAAAACCTTCCTAGAATTCGGTCGACTGCGTCTGCATCTGACGCGGAAGGACGTACAGCCGGATCCGATAACGCGACTCGACCAAAAGTAGACGAGAAGACTGCGGACGGCTTTCTTTCGGCACACGTGGCCTAGAAATCATCCGCTCACGCGCGCCTCTGCTCTCCGCTAACTATATTCAAATTTGTCTCTTATCTTTTCACTTACCTGTCGCATAAATATTCCTCGTTGCTTTTCTGGTCGTCGGATGTCAGCTATGAAAGCATACATTCGGAAAACTTGTTCGAGAGTACCAAATGGCTTGGAGTACTCCGTGCAAAGTAATCGTATGAACGTAATTTGTAAAAATAAGTTGACTCGTACGTCAATCAACTTTCGACCACAAAGATATTTTGATCAGCGCTTTATAAAAGTAGAACGCTTATAATGTAGAGGCATTTAAAATCGGATGTCATTCTTCTTCAGAGACGCCAGAATTGCATACGAGGTGCTGTCAAATGAACAACAATCGTGATTATATATACAAGTAAGTCTTAAATTTTATTATGGACATGTACACATTTTCATTCGCGAGCTCATCGCTACACGTCTATACCAGAGAAGAGAAAAAACACGACGCTCTTCCTATAGCGTACGCACATGCGCGCGCGCGCACACACACGCACACACACACACACACATGTGCGCGCGCGCATAGACACTGTCGACCGTACACATAGATACACGTATGTATAATTGACTGAGAAGCTTCTCGAATCAGCTCTCGCTTAGCTTGATGGCTTTCGCATCCAAAAGCGAACGCAAAATTCACTACAATCGAAACGAAGCCATGTGGACAATTTACAAGATAAAAGAAAAAAAGAGACACTCCATAAATCGGCGATTAAATACGCTGTGATTGTCGTGAAATACCGTCGGGCTGTTGGTAACCGGGACACGTGTGCACGTCGCGAGATTCGATAACACTCATACGCACTCATGAAACAAGAAGTCCAAGTGAGAGCTTGCACTCGCGTGTTATGTACAGATACTGTTTCTATAAGTACGAAGGCTTTCAATAAATACATTCTAGTAAAATACTACCCTTTTATACACAAGCGTAGATGTCTCTCTCTTGTTGTTCAATGCTATTTCTTAATTATTAGAAAATTTCTTTTCGTAATGTACCGTAAAAAATTTTCCGTTTCGTTCTTAATAGTCGACGCTGCTGTAGACAACATTATGGTAGTGAGCAGTTGAAAGTACATACGGGCGATTTGTGAGTGTATAATTTCTATCTTTAAAATGTACATTTATCGAAGTAAAAACTTGCTGAAAATCGCTTGACAATTCTGTTCGTTTTCTCTCTCTCTCTCTCTCTCTCTCCACGCGACATTTTCACGACAAAAGAGACGGGATCCTTGGTCCCATTTCCTGGCTATCAAATTTTTACAACGACCCCGCGCGCGCGCACGCTCATTTCCTTGATATGTCATTGCCGTTGAATGAGAAATTCTGCAAAGACAATCATTTTTTTTGTAAATCCACGATTATAATTTACGAGGATAATAAATAACTAGAATGACAAATGGCAACGACGAAAGAAATCATAAAATCGACAAGTTTTGACGCGTACTCACTACGCGAGAAATAAGGCTACGAAAAGCTAAAAAATAAATTGTAATTCGAAAATTCTAGGCGCAATAACTAAGAAGGCAGCATTAAAAACTTTTCGTTTACTTGTGGAAGAGAAAATAATCAAAACAAACGCGTGGGAGCTTTGAGCTTTCTTAACGCTGTATGGCACTTAAGAATCTGCAAAAAATTTTTCTCTCTCACGGGGTTGAAAGATAAATTAAAAACATTCATTGCACTTCTCTCTCTGGCTGTGTATAAAAAAAATAAACAAGAACAACGAAGAACCGTGAAAATAAAAGTGAGTATGATTATCTAGACGTTGACTAGATAATATATTGGAAAAAAAAAGGTTCGAAGAAAGTAATAACATATAATGCCTACTCATGAGTAAAACTGCACCGCAAAGTGAAGAGGAACTACGCGCAATGGCGTTTCACTTTAAGTACAATTGCACACGCATGACACACATTAACTTACGTAACACCATATATACGCTCGCTTCATTATAAAAAAAATGGGCGCTCAGTCGCGTGTGACAGCTTATCGTTTAATTAGGTACAAATAGAATTCGCCGTTATTTATTCTTTAAAAGTAGATAGTTCAAGTCGCAGAGAAAGAGAGGAGGGGGGGGAAGAAAGAGAGAGAGAGAGAGAATAGTTTTTTGTTTCTTTGTGCTTAACAAACAATGACTATTGCCGTACGATTCTCTTCTACAAGTGCTCTATTTTTCAAACGCGAATTTACTGATTACCGTGATGCAACTAACGATTCTACCTCTACCTGTCTCTCTCTCTCACTCACTCTCTCTCTCTCTGTCTCTCTCACTCACTCTCTCTCTCTGTCTCTCTCACTCACTCTCTCTCTCTCTCTCTCCCTCTCTCCCCCCCCCCCTCTCTCTCGTCTAACGTTATTTTTTGTGCTCTGCTCGTGCACTCGCGTACAGTCGTTATTCGAGCCAAGTAGAAAAATATTATAAACCAAGCTATCGCTTAAATCACGATTCTTTAATGGCAAGCTCGCTTTGATCATTCACTCGCTGTTGGGCCTGCTTGACGAGACTCCGGCTACACCCACAGGCTATTTTCAACGCTATCGCGTTTTCCCACGTTGATCATCCCGAGGATTTCGCTTCTATCGCCGAGACAGCCTTTTGACCGCGTGCAAAAGAGAAAAGTCCAAAGACTAGGTATGTATAATTTGAGCGAAGTCGGTTGGTAATAATTGAATAATGATTTAATAATAACGAACCCTATCATGATTACACGTGTATTATGGAATAGCAGTTCTCGCCACTGTGTTATTTCCATCTGCCTTTTTTTTTCAACGAGGAAACCGCTTCCATTTTCGTTTCGTTTCGTTTAAAATTATAAGAAACACTTTTCAGTTGAATGAAGATTACGCGAACTAGCGAGGATGATGCTCAGTGAAAACAAAGACGTTCTCGGATCGATAGTCACGATCGAAAGTTCATTTCTTTTAAGAAGATAGCGAAAGTCTCGCTGCAAATTGATAAGAACATTCGTAAAACCTATCTTTCATCAGTCGTCGTCGGGCGAACCGTCCGTACTCTGTCGCGAGATTAAATAACAAAAAAACAAATAGCAGAAAAACGCACGAAGTCACCTGTAGAATATCGATTATCGTCTTATCACTTGCACTTGACCTTGCCATCGAGCAGTTTCTTCCACAAATCAAACTGCTCGCTATACTTGACCATGTGTATGCTGATGCCACGTTGAACGTTGCACGGGCTGTAGGAGATCTTGCGGTTGAGAAACTCGTTGGCGTGCACCCTCTTGATGCCCAGCTTGCTGGCGACGATGCCCGTAACGAACACGTCCTCGAGCTTGAGGAAGGTCTCGTTGAGCGCGGCGTCGCGCAGGCTGTGCACCACGTCGTTGGAGAGCAGGTAAGCCGGGCCTGTGCAAAAGTCCGGATAGAAGGTGGCCTTGTACTGCGCCACGGACACGAAGTACTTGCTGGATTTGTTCCTCACGGGTTTCCACTTCCTCGCCACTTTGCCGAAAATCACGTTTTTGTCCTTGCGATGTTTGTTGATGAAGGATACTAGCCGCGGCACGTTGATAAACATGTCGTCGTCGGTCTTGAGCACGAACTTGACCTCCGCGCAGTAGGTGTCGACCCACTCCAGGGTCGATATGGTCTTGAGCGTGAGGTTGAAGTACGAATCGACGAAGTTACCGCGCACAATGTCGCCATACATGTCCTGCTCGCGCTCCAGGTTCTTCTCGAATTTGGCGTCGTTCGTGCTGCCGAGCATGAACACGATGCCGATGTCGCGGCGCTGGCCGAAGTGGCCCCACGTCTGCCGAATCGCCGTCCTCGCCTCGAAGTGCGTGGGCGCCGACATGATGATGATAACCAGGTCCATGTACTTTCCCTGCTCGGGACACTTGTCGGACACCGTCACCGAGTGTCCCGCTGCGTAAATCGCTCTGGCCGAGTTCTTGTCGACGACGATCGGCGCTGTCAAAGGCGCCACTGTCGTGGTCGTGGTGGTGGTCGTGGTCGTGGTCGTAGTTGTCGTAGTGGTTGTGCTGGTGCTAGTGGAAGACAAAGCTTGCGAGCTCGATGACGAGGATGCCGCTGATATGACGGTTATGATACCCGACGAGTTTGACACTGCTACGTTGTGCTGCTGCTGCTGCTGCTGCGAGGAGCCGTTGACAACCAACGGGGGCAGCAGATCCGAGGCGTTCTGGCGTGATTGTTGGGTCGATAAAGCCGCCGACGATTCCGAGTTGATGTTGTTGTTGGCGTGCGGCTGATGCTGTTGGCTGTGCGCCGAGTCGTAGAGCGACGAGCGATCTGCAACGAGCGAAACGAACAACAAATTGTACTATTGTTTGAAAAATGTCGTTAATACGTTTATCCGAAGTTTTCAAGACGAAAGTGGTTCGGGAAGTGGGTATCCGCCGCGACGAAGAAAAGAAAAACAAGTCCTAGTCCGCCTAGCGAAACTCGTTATCTGCTTATCGCGTCGACAAAAATACGCTAATTGGACACAGTCCTGTTCCTTCTCGTAGTCGTATGTTGCTACCTGGCGAGCACGGTGAATCACTTAGTGGCGTGAAAAAGTAGTCTATTATATGCGTAATGACCTTTGCCTCACAGAATTTGGAGGCTATTTTAAGTTGAGCGGACTCGAGGTCGTTCGATGCTCCGCATATCAAGCAGGCAGGCGCGCGCGACTTGTACGAGGGAGCAGGCGTCGGAAGCAAATTAAAGACCTCTTTCGTTTTCTTTCCTCTGCCTTCTCGCTTCGAGTATCTTTCTTACCTTGAGGAAATCAACGAAAAATCAATGCTATTTACTACACGAGCGGCGCGCTCGAATAACAATTTCACGAGCAGTGTCGAAAGGCGCGGCTTTGTTAATCCGAGCCTGGCGCGCGCTCAAATTTTTAGAGCCCACTTGAAAATAATAATCTCCGAGGCTGTTTGGCAATCGTAATAAGCTCTTGCAGCAAATCGAAACAAGACGTGGAAACGAGTTTCGCAATTTTTCTTCTCTTTCTCTCCTCTCCAACGGGAAATTGACGGTAATTAAGCCTAGATGAATTGCGGCGATTCGCAATCGTTATCGAAGGGTCGACGTTGCGCAAAAGCGCATACATCCTTTACATAAGCGCGACAATGGTCCCCCTCGTTTCGCGGCTACGGCGTGCGCGGAGAGCGAAATCGCGCCGGCCGCTGCGCGCCATCGATCGTCTCGTTCGCCTTTGAATTGGATAACGAGGCGTTTCCATGTTTCTCTTTGTTTATTTCCTCTTTTTTCTGCAAGCGAGCGAAATCGCGAAGCCGCAAGGCCGCCGGAAGCCGCGCATTTTCCACGACACACTGACGCTTTCACTGGCCGCCGGCGCGTCGCGCCAGGGGCTCTTCTCCTTTTTCATCCGTGGGCGGATGCGCCTTCCCGCAGGATATCCAGCTGGACCAGTCGACGATCCGTGGCCACGTGACAGCGGAACGAGAACGAACGCAAATAACGCGACAAGGGGGAGCGATCGTTGCGCAACGGAGCGACACGCGATGAAATCACTCGCAGGTAATTGCAGCAATTGCCTCAGCTTTTCCTCTTTTTCCTCATTTTTTTTTTCTTTTTCCGATGCGCGACATGTCCGACGTCTCGTCGCGGACGTCATTCGCATAGATAAATCGATCGATCGTCCGGCGATTCATAAACAATGTCGCTTAAATAAAAGATCAGTTTCTAGAAGAAAATCTCGCGGATCCGATAACACCGGAGCTGCGCCGTGAAAATGCTGCTCTCGGAGCTGCGCGCGTCCAAAAATACATCCTTTGACAATCTCAACAAGTTTCTTTCACCTGGAGCTTTTCTAAAGGCATCTGCGGAGTGCTTTGTCGACAGAGCGAGACAAAGTTCCAAAAATAAAAATGTCGCGAGAGGCCTTTTGCTTTAATCGATATATCATCTATAAATGAAGAGGTGTATCGTAAAGGCTCCCTGTAATGATAACGGCCTAAATAAATGTGCGCGGCAAAAGTTGCATGTCGACACGTGTCTGCGGGCGTATCGTAGGGTCGTTGTCGCTCGGCCAACATGGGTGGTGCATTCCAAAACATCGTCACGGCAGCGCGCGTTGCTCCCTAAATCGCAAGACTATTGTTCCGCGATTTTTCTCGTCGGTAGAAAGAGCACCTTGTCCGGGATCATTGACACGAGAGAAAGAGAGAAAGTGTGCGCGTACACAGTGCTGCGAGTGCGTAATTGAAATTTATCGCGTAAAAGTCGCTGTCCGAGCAAGGCTCGCAAACTCATTTACCAAGTAAAGAACTAGAGCCCGTAAGGCATAGGCTCGTTTCATTTGGATGTGGATTAGCATCGTAATTAATTAGCCAACTTTTGCAGTTTGCTCCTGCATCGAATTATTCGAGCGAGCGCAAACTTGATTCTCAGCGCACGGACATTTCCCATTCTGCCTATCGACCGATTCATAGCGGCCGGGACAGCTATTAATTAGCTTGTGAAACACAAGCGACTCGCACGTATGCGAACGCACGTTACAAAATATTTATCGCGAAACGTGTGCTAATGCGATTCTATTGTTTTGCTCAACTCAAGCGTATCTGTTGACTGTTGAAAAGCCTCGAGGCGGCTCGCCGCTGCTCATCGAGATTCGTGAAAAGTCACGACTGTTCGCTGCGATTTTACGGCCGTTGAAGCGCGCTATCCCCTGTAAGTTTCAGACTGATGCTGCTCAAGTGCAATCCACTTACGCTCCTGTCGTCGCGCGGGCGCTAAAACTGCATTTGTGTATGTGTCGGCAGGCAAAGGAAAATCGATAAATCAACAAAGAAAAGAGGCCGACTAACGAGCGCTGTGTTGACATCATCCGCGTGTACGGCCATAGCGAGAATTAAGACTAAACGCGTAATTGCGAGCAAATAAAAACAGCGAGAAGAAAAAGAAAGGGAAGGCCGAGGAGAGCGCGAGACGTGGTGTTTATGAGTGTGTATGCGCGCGCGCGCGCGCGCGCGACCGCTCGCGGTTACTCACTGTAGCTGCGCACGAAGGCATACTGCTGAATCTCACTGGCGGTGGTCCTGTAGTAAGTGTAGAAAGTGAGTCCGAGAAGTGCCAGGATGAGGCTCTGCAGGAGGCGGCTGCGCAGGCTTAGAAAGCCCATGGCTACGATGATCCCATGTCATCAATCATCCACAACGTCGCAGTGCGCCTACCAGTCTACTTGCTCGGCACGGCCCTTTTGAGGTTAGGTCGTCCCTCATGTCATTGCCTTGCGCCCCTGTGTCGTCGTGTCCTCTTCGCTCGTAGCTCGGCGGACCGTTCAATGCGGGAGAGCGAGCATGTGTCCTGTGTGCCTCTCCAGCTACCGAGCTGCACAGCTCGGGAAGGAAACGAACAGGAATGGAAAACGGCAAGACACTCGCAGTTGAAAATAGAGCCGAAAGATAGAGGTCCGCACTGCGCGCGCACCACGGCCGGACTGACTAGCCGATCGAGCGGCGCGACTGGTTATATGTGGCCGTGTCGTTGCTGCGTGCGTACGCCAAGTCGCGCGTCGCGAAGCAGTCGCGAAGCGCGCCGAACCAGGTGACAGGTGGACGGAAAAAGAGGCGCGCACTCGCATCCTTGTCCGAATCTGCGCCTAGTGCATCTCTCTAATCGCCGCGTTCGCCTTCGCGCGCGCCCTCGTTTCGACCTATTCGTCTTTATCGCCTCGGCCGTTTTCCCATCTCCTTCGGCTCTGCATGCCCTTTTTTCCTCGCATGCACGCGCGACACGGTTTTCCAGCCACGCGAGCGCACTTCTCCGTGGGAGAGAGGCGACTGTGCGGCTCGCGACTATCAGTTTGGAATTTCACATGGACAAAGATAGCCTCGCGCGCGACTGGCGTTTTTTTCTTTTTTTTGTCATTTTTTTCTTTTTTTTTTTCGTTTTTTCTCCGTTCTTTGTCTTTGGCGAGCGGAAACAGGCAGACCAAGAACGAAGATTTCGAAGACGCGCCGCCGAGGACGCAGCCGGAATCGGAGCGCTACTCGTCCACCGGGAGCGGATCGATTCGCGCGCAACGTCGTCCACGGCACGAGCGGTGCGAAGAGCGCGCGCAACAGCTGCGGAAGCCCCGTGACATCGTTGCATCCTCGAAATCCTGCCTACGAGCTGTTCGCGTCGGCCGAAGGATCGATCGCATCCGCACTTGGAGATGGACCTTCGCAGCGATTAGTATCGTCGGGAACGAGTGCCGCGCGTATTTTCCTTGCCGGCGGTTGCGCAACGATCGATGTATTATTTATCTCGGATTCCTATAGTTTTTCTCTGCCTTCCACAAACCGCCTGTTTACTCGCGCCATTATCGACAGCCGCGATCGTTTTTTTCGAACTTTATCGCTGGTCGTTCGCCGTAAGAGCGTTTTTACATCGCGTTACTCGTTGCGCTCCTTGCCGTGCCCCCCATCCGCCGCGCTATTCGCGCACTTATCGCCTCAACATCGACATGCTCTCGCCGCGGGAAGAATAAATCCTTTTATCGCGCTCGCTCGCTGGCCACACGCGCACACCAGTCGGGTTAGATAATAAGCAGTCGAGCTTTTTCTCTTGCTACTGTTCCCCTCGTTCTTGCCTTTCGTTTCCGAGACCCACTGCGAAGCGATCGGAGCTTTCTCGTAGGCACGCGCGCCAACGAGATCTCCTTCGGCGAGCTCTGCCAACGCGAACGTGACTCGCTGCTGTCGTGGCGCAACAAGAACTTTCCATTTGCGTAATTTTTAGCCCTATTACAGCCCGAGACGACGGGGCGGAGGAGCAAGGAAGGAAATTCGGATTTATCGTTGCCCGTCGCCGTGGCGTCTTCTTCTCTCGCCCGTCGCGGCGGTCTCCTCGCAAATTAAACGGGATAACGTCACGTCGGGATTGGCGCGGTGGCTCCGGCGATGTCTCACGGGAAACGTCCTGCCTTTTTTATTTCGTTCAACTTCTCGCGGCTTCGAGTACCGCTCGTGTCAATGGCGAACCCCGACGAGATTGCACGAGCAGCCGAGCTTTAGATTTACCGCCGACCGAAGCAGCCTCGAGCTCGACGAGGAACGGTGTGCTCTATCATTTGCGATCCGCAAATGAAAATGGAAGTGATGAGTTTGCCGGACTCCCGACCTGAAAATTCCGCTCTTTTTCGTTTAATCGACGTGTTCGCTCGCGGCGCGCGACGTTTACAAATAACGCTTTTTGCTTTTCTTTTTTTTCTCTTTCGGCGACATCCTCGCTCTCGAAACTCACGAAGCGACGATGAAAAATGTCTCGCTTCGCGCGTGTGTCGTTGGACGTCGAAGAGAATCCGCATGTTCGAGTAAGAAACGTGCCCGAACTAATTGCGGGATTGTTATTATTGAAAGTTATTTACTTGCGTGATTTTCCTCTCGACGCGTGGGCCAAAGAAGAGAGCGCTCGGCGAGGTGCGCGCGGATTCTCAACGCCGCGTTTCTAAGCGGCGTCTGCCGGGCAAACGAAAAGAAATTGGCAAAACGCGTCGAGGTAGCGGCGCGTAAACAGCGGACGCCTCTTGCTCGACGAAAAATCAGAGCCGATTCAACCGTGAATCCTGCCATTGGCAAGTCGATCGTTTTGTTTTTGTTTTCTTTTCGGTCGCGTCGCGACAACTCGAACGCGCCTCGCTGCGGCTTTCGCAGCTTGTCGCGCTGCCGCGATATAATCGCGAACTGGATCGACTGCAACTCGAGGATTTTCATTTCAGTCAACGAAAGGATGAATCCAATGAAATTTTCTTGTTTTTATTTTCTACCGCGTATACGAAAGATTCGGCGATCAACGAGCGATACGTCAATTTCATTGTAACTACCAAGAAAAGCGAGAATTCGATAATTGCGTATTTGTGCAAAAGCATATATAGTTTTCGGTCAAGCATAAGAGGAGGAAAGGAAAAAAAGCACCAGCGCCCACATCCATAAAACGCTCAAGATAGTAGGTAGAGAAGGGGGGGGGGGGGAGGAAAAAAGACGAGCATCAGTGGCAATCAAAGGCGCGATAATAAAAGAATCCCGAGAGAGGGAGATGCCGAGATTGCAGGGAGCAATTTTCCGTCAATTCTCGCGCAGCTTCCAAGCCAATGACAAATGGCTCGATCTTGATAAACAAAAAACACAGCGGCACGACGATGGCGCGGAAGAGGACGAAACCATGTGTAGCGCCGGATAAGGGGCACAATTTCGTTATTTTTATTCGATTTTATTTTGTAGTACGATAAACTCCTTGGGAGCAGGTCGTGCGTAGAACGTAATTGTCGTGCGCAGCGTTATGCTATTCTCACGAGATCGCCTCTTCATCTTTATCTGGAGCGGAGGTCGATATCTGTCGCCCCGAGCAGCCTCGAGCTCGACGTCGCGCGCCGAAGGATCGCCTTATCGCCGTTACCGTCGTCGTCGCCAATGGGAAACTTTTGAGCTCGCGATGCCTGTCGATATCGTCGAGGGTCGCGCGTGTGCACCATAACCGGCTCGCCGGTGCGATAGAGGGGAAAAAACAATTACTCTTGGAGTGTCGTTCGGAATGAATCGTTTTTGCCAAGGACCGCCCACGAGAGAGAGACTAAAAGCGTCGTTCTACACTGTTTCAGCAACGTCATTTCAGCTGGTCAGCTTCTTTCTCTTCTCTTCTTTTGGCGAGTCTTAAGCCTTTTCGTCTAGAAAATGTGCATAGCGTAGTTACGTGGAAGCCACGCGGAAAACACCTCGAATGCGTGCGAATATTTTAATTCAAATGGAAAAACGAATGTGCGCACGTTTGCAGTTTTTGGACGGTCAAGAGTGTTTTTAGAGCGAGTCTCGCAGGCTATCGCGAAATCATTTTTTCGCGATAATCGAAATGAAGAAAAAAGCGTTTGATACGAAGAAGTTACGATAACGATACCATTGTCACGCGACGTGGTGAACTTTGGGCAATACGACGGGACTGACGAAAATCGAAAAGGTGAAGTGACGTCAAGTCCATTCAGGAGAATATTAAGCATCAAGCGCAGATGTAAAGAAAACGGGAGACGAGCGATATAGGAAATTTTTCTCGCCGCAATAACGTTCGATTGTATCGCATCGATCTACAGCCGAAATCTTGAAAGCACGCAACGCGGCTTCGTTCGCGAAAATGATTTTGGATCGTCGAGCGAGCTCGACAGCGCGCGTCGAAAGGCTGACGTCGCCGCGGCCTCAGCCTTATCAACATCCCGGGACACCGGCAAATAATGGAGCGTCGATCATTAACATGACTGCGGCGCGATTGTCGCGGTCGGCAATTCGATTTCGCCGCGGCCTTCTTCCGCGGCGGCGCGCGCGCCGCGGTTACTTTCCGCTGAATGGAAATGAGCCCTCGACTGCGGCGCGCGCGTCGGCTCGGCAATCTCATTAGCCGGGTGCGCGTAATCGTGTTTCCTCCGCTGGCGCGTAATCTTTCGGAGATGCGGCCCCCGGAAGCAATTCGAAGCGAGCGAGAGGCGACAACGCCCGTTAATTGCTTTTGATTTTTTCCTCTTGATTTTTCCCCCTCCCCTGTCCGCCGCTGGCGCGCCGCAGTGCTCGCTCGTTATCGAGTCGTACGATCGACCGTTTCGTTTTTTTTTTCCCCGAGGGCAGTGCGCAACGGTCCCGACAACGGAATCGGGCTGGAGATTCTAATTCGTTGTCTCCTTGCCGCGCTCCCCAGTTTTCTGCTTCGATTCGGCGTCCTCGAGAAAACCAGCGACTCCGTAGAGCCAACGCTACGTTGGCCGTTGGGGTCAACATGGCTGATTCGAAGCGTCGCGTGCGACACGTTTCACTGAAAAATTTATAGCACATCGAGCCCTTGAAAGCCTTTCCGCCAGCACTGAGAAAGGAGAGCGACAGAATCCGTCAAAAAGAAGACTCCTCCATCGCTCTCTCGTTTTTCTTCTTTTTCTTTTTTCTTTTCTCTCGTTCGAGAGTTGGGAAATCGAGCATTAACTGATCGACGGACACGTACGGTATCGTGAGAGGAAATATATATACATATAAACTAGGAGGGAGAGAGAAGTGGCGGGATCAGCAATAATAAGAGTATAAGCAGCGTCGACGGCACACACACGCGTCGCCCCTTTTCTCGCAGAGTCGCTAATTCGACGCCGCTCTATCGCGCGCGCCGGAGCGCCAACGCGGAAAATCAATAATTTGATCGGCCGACCCATCTCCCTCCGTTCACGTTGTCCTCCTGTGCAAGGGATTCTCTCGCTCCGAATGGCGCTTGAAAAAAGTCCAGCGCACGTCTCGCGAGTCATTGTTCGATATTCAGCGGGCTGCGTAAAACTGGGGCTTTCGCGTGGATTCGCGACAAGAGACAAGAAATGAATTGTCCTCGGCGCCGCGCACCTGAAAAAGAGGCCGTGTGCGCGCGACAGCGGTGCATTGATTCATAGAAAACGGATAGCTCCGAAACGAGGAAACTCGGGATATTGAAAATTATTTGCGGCGACTGAGGTGTGCTCTGGCGAGAAGTCACTGCACGTGGCCGGAGTAGGAGGGAGGAAGGCGCGTAGAGTACGCTGCGATCCGGTCAGACGGCTGACGTGTTCTACTTGAGGCTGACGCGTTGCGGTGGCTCGTGTTCGCCGTCGCAATCGTCGCAATCGTGCACACGGGAAAAATCTCAGATCGATACGGAGACTCGGACTTCAGGGAGATTCTCTCTCCCTCTCTTTTTCACCCGCGGAACCGAGCTCTCGCGCACACGTACAGCGCCTCGCGCCACTTTTGCCGCGAGACTTCCTCGCACTCCATTGTTCTTCAATTTGCGGTCGCTTCCCACCACGACTAGGCCGCGCGGAAAATGATAAACGGTGTTTCTGCAATTTGTTGGCAACGACAAATCTCAGTTTGTAGCCGCCTCGTGGCGCTCCGCTCCTTTTTCTTCTCTCTCTTGTCGTCACCGTCGTCGTCGGGAGCTCCGTGCGTCCGGGTATTCTGCTAATAGCGATAATTGCTCGCTTAATTTGCCGGGTTCGCCGCGGTTGTTTCAAATTTATGACACGAGTGGGAGATAAAAGTCGCCGACTTTTCGCAAGGAACTTTCCGCGTGTTGTTCACGCTTATAAGAGATTTCGGCATTGGTCAAGAACTCGCACACGGATTAGATACATTCAATGACAACTCGCGTGTCAGTTCCGCGAATGAAATATGTATACGTACGAAAAGAGTCTAATTAAGAATCTCTTTAATTCATTGTATTGTCCCTCGGAGAATCGTAAACAGACTAAGAAGACGAAAAAAATCCATGATATGAATGCGTATCGTATTACGCTTTCGAAGTTCGCAGATGAATTTGCTCACGATTCGATAAGTGTGGCGTATCAGCGAGGACGTATTGGAATTCGCGGCCGGGTTGCGCAGCGAAATTCGGCGATGACGCGATTCCGCGCAAGCGGAAAGATTTTTAATTAGCGATAATCGCTCGTCCTGGCAGCGAGCGACCGCCGAAGTAATTCCGTTCGCCGAGCAGCGGTTCGCGTTATTGCACGCCAAGTCCGCCACGGTCGTCGGGACGTTTCTGTCGCGTAATTGCGCCTCCGTCGACGTCGTCGATTGTCGAACGTACTTGCTCCTATTCCGTTTCACGACGAGTGACGCGTCGAAATCAAAACACCGACTCACCGTTCCACGTCGCGCTCGCGCTGCGGATATGTCTTTATCAAGCTAATCCTAATTTATAGGCACTTGGATGAGATCTTCGGGAGCGAGGATGAGAGGCGAGAGTAATGCCAGCTACCATTGCGAACTGCCGCTCGTCGGGCATTTACCTTCGCTCGTCGTACTTTATTCCGGCAAATGAGTTAAGGCACGGCGCTTTATCGATCGTCATCCACGCGATGAACTGAAAACCAGTTTCCGATCTCGATGGATCATCGCAGTTTTCGGTTTTAAAAAAAAAAATCAACCTAGCGGTGTTGTTTCAAAAATTCGAACGAAGCTCTCCTCGCGCGTAAAATACTTTGACCAAAGTTAGCGCAGCAACTTGAAATTGCGTTGCTAGTCAAAGAACGTCACTGGGTAAAAAGCTCTTTCGCGCGAGGCGAAATAATCCACGCAAAAATTGGATTTTCTCTTCTTTTTTTTGTTATTTCTTTTCGTCTTTTATGGAACTGATGCGAACGATCAACGCAATGTTCGCAGAAAAGCAGGTTGCAGAAGCAAGCAGTGCAGGGAAAGAAAGTAATACTTAATTCCAGAAGCGACTGAACTCGTTTCTTTTTCGCGGGGAAACTGGGATTCCATCGCGGAGCGAGCGACACACTTTTATTCCATCCTAGCCTGAACAATGAATATCGATATCCGCGAGAGAGCCTCAGACTCTCCGAGTCCGCTTTGCTTCGGCGCGTTTTCATTCGGATTCGAATGCCTTGCGTTCTCATTCTACGCGTATACTTAATGCGACCAATATTTGCCGTTTAATCGAGTTGATCATTGGTTTGAAAAAGTAGAAAGTGGAAGGAAAAAAAAAACCATGAATAATGGTTCGTGCGCCGGGGTTCTTGAAATGCAGCGAGCAAGCATTTTTCTCTCTCACTTTTATTCTGCGTGAATGGACGGAAAGAGAAAAATGACGCGCTTGATATCTCTGCCTCGTTTTTTCCTTTTTTTTTACTTTCTTTTGGCATAACTCGCGGGATAGCCCCGCCGTAATCATTTATCTTTTGGCTCGGAAGCCAGTGCTCGCGTGACGGAAGCGCACGAAAATCTGCCGGACGCTGAAAACGGTCTCGTCCAAGTTCGCGCGACGGCTAGTTTCTAAGCTCGGCAGCCAAACGACCGACTCCCAGCTTCGGCGAAGCCATCGAGCGTTGCAAGAGAGGATACGCCTCGCGAAATCCAAATCGACGAGTAGTTCGGCTGTTTTGATGCGCGCTCGTTAAGTTTCGAGATAGCCCCGAGAAGAAGAGTCTGAAAAGTCGTCGTTCCGCTGTCTCGTGCGCCTCGGTAACGATCGAATTATTTCGGCCCAGTCGAGCGCGAGCCTTCTTTTATTCGAATGCCAATTCTTGCCCATACGGCGGCGTCGTCCCACGCTCGAACGATGCCAATATCGGAAGCTCGGCCCATTCATCTCTCGACCGAGAGAAAATTCCGGTCGACGATTAATTAAGCCGCCAGTCAGGTGAGCTCTGCCCTCTTCGCCTGCAACGCCGTTCTTTCGCTGCCTCGTTCGGCCGACGAATGGGGTACGTACTCGCAAGGCAACGCGCTCGCGGCGAAATTAATGTGCTTGCGCGCGCTTTTGTGGCGAGCTCCGACGACGAGAAGTTTTCGAGGCGCGCGCTTAATTGAATTTCCGATGGTCGTTTGGCCGAAGCCGTCTGCCGTTACTGCCCGGTTCTTCGGGTCTGATCGGCCGGCTGGGGAGGCGCGACGCGGCTCGCTTGGCCGACTCCGCGTCGGCGCGCGCCCTCGAAGCACCGCAAAACGAGAGGCGATTTCGCGGCGACTCGATATGAAAATGTCATAGCCGCCAGCCACGGCGTACGCCTCGCGCACGCAAGGTGCGTGCGGGCGACGCGAGCAGCTGCCATTCATCGCGACTACGCCTCTTTCCTCGCGGCCGCCCCCTCCTCGGGCAGAGCGCATCACGCATCGACCTCTGGATCTTTGGCCTCCCACGTAACGGGCTGGTTCGTGCGTCGGCGAATCGATACGACGCGCGCGCTGCCGAGTCTGCGTGTCCGTGTGCAAAGGGACACCGACAATCAGCAGCGCAGGCGCAAGGAGCTTGCGCACTGATAGCACGGCAACTCGCGGCGGCGGCGGCGGCGGCAGCGACGGCGGCGGCGGTTGGCGCACGTTCAGTCTCGCGCTGCGCTGACCAACGAGAGCAGTCGCTAGTGCCAGTAGTCGAGCGGGCCGTGCGAAAGCGCGGCGCACACACACGCACACCCGGAGCGCCCGACGAGTGGCAGGACATGTTGCCGCCGACTCGCGGCGTCGCGAGCTACCACGGCCTTCCCAGCTTGGCTGACTGATCGACCGACCGACCGAGCGCAGGAGGTGAGCTCGGCGTGCCCCCTTTTCTCGCGGAGAGCGCCCACCGCCGCCGCCGCCACGGCGAAGGGTACGTCGGGTAGAATGTGGGCTAGAGCGCGCGGGAGAGAGGGCCGCGGACACACCCGTGCAATGCCGCCGCCGTGTGCCGCTTCCGCGCACCGCGAGATCAATAACGAGAGCACGCGCAGGCGGCTGCAGGCGCCGCTGACAGCAGCAGCAGCAACAGCAGCAGCAGCTGTTCCGACAAGCCAGATCGCCGCTCCTCGCTCGCGCCCGCGACGCGGCGTTCGCCTCGATATCTCCTCCGCGACTGGGCTGCTGCCCAGCGCATTTCGACTGATGCTGCCTTCGTTGACGCGCCACGAGCGAGCCAGTCGATACTCTCGCCTTCTCTCGCTCGTCGATGAATTTTTTAACGGGGCACTCGGCTCGGTGTTTACGAAGCGAGAGTATAGTTTCGTCGCGAGCGCGCGTCCGCTTGCCAGTGGGAGGGTTTTGCCGGGAAGACCGCCGAGAAAGGCAGGACTGACTCGATGCCGCGGGCAAAAGAATGGACTTGCAAATGTGAGCCAGTCCACGAGAACGATATTCGCGGCTCGAGATAAAGCCGCGTCTCCCGCAGCTCCCTTCCTCGAGTCTCTCGTTCCCCTCTCTCCCGCGCTCTCTGTAAACCAGCCGAAATCCTCGGCTAAGTCCACTTCCGTAAATCACGGGCGTCGAGACAGTCGAGAGTATGAAAATATTAAACCGGCTGCGGCGGCGGCGGCGGCCGACGCTCGCGTTGGTCAATAGTCGACGACGACCTCGAGTCTCTCCGGTGCTCGAGTTGCCGAGCTATAGTTTGACCGGCGTCAATTATTAAGCTCGTACGTGAGCCTTTTTTGTCCTCCCCTTCGCTTCTTTATCCCCGCTGTCACTTGATTTTTGGCGAGCATCCCCTCGATCGGGATGTAGGCCAAGTAGCTGACGATTGTCTCTTCCCTCGCTCGCGCTTTCTCCGCTGTTTTACTTCCTTGAGGCTTATGCGCGACGTGGTCGGCGCCCAGGTGGGGCACCCCGCCTGGCTCGAGCCCGCGCGCGACTTGGTCCTTGTCCACCACTGCTGTTTTCTCCTCGCTCCGAACTGAACAGACCTGCCCTTTCTTCGTCCGCGCTTCGCGGAACGTTTCAATTGCACCGAAGAACATCTAAGAACATCTCTACCTTGGTCGCCTCTCCACGGTAGATCGCCTTGAAACGCGCCACGATTGTCCAAACTTTTGGAAACGCTTGAGCAAATACATGGAAAGAAGCTTGGATTTCGCTCCGCTATCGAGCGAATCGTCACGCTTTCGCAGGCACGCACAAATTCGCTTTCTTCGGCACGCATTTCTGCACATCTCTGCGCCCAGCTGCCCTCGCGTTAATTCTCTCGGCACGCAGCGTCTCGCCATCCGACCATTTTACGTTTGTGGCGCTCGTTGAAGCCAGAAAGTTGTATCTCAGCCCTTCTAGAAAAGTTAACGGCGGGACGAAGCTCAAGCGGATAGACTTCCAAGTGCCGCTTCTTGCGACTGCGAAAAATTGATCTCGCTCGAGATTCGCCGACGCGTAAAGAATATAGGAGAGTTTGTAGTGGGTCGATATACGAAAGGACACACTGACCCAGAGAGGCGGAAAGACGCTGCAGCGCGCACGTGTCCGTGTGTGCGTGTGTGTTTGTCAGCTCGATAGCTTCGGCGTCGTCGGATGCGCTCCGCATCGATTTCTCTCGACTATTGCCGCGCTCGTTACCTGCCGCCTCGAGCAGCTGGCTGTTTTTCTAGATCCGCGAAACTCAATCGGCTGGTTCGCCGCAAGCTCCTTCTCGTCAGCCGCTCGTTCATGGATCCATTCGGATGCTGCTGCAGGAGTTTGCTCTGCGCGCTTCGCCTTCGCGGTCTATCGATTTTGCAACAGCCTTATAAATAGCTAATAGGACCGCGGCTCCGCAACAAAGGCCACCAGATCCGAGTCAGATATTATTAATTTCTTTTTAATACTTTGAATAATTGACTTGGATGGCTTGGAAAAGTGCAATTATAACGAATTCATTTCTGTACGGTTCGATCTTACGCTGACCCCTTCCTCTGCTGCAGATAAACTCTACTCCGTTTAATTATTGACACGGCGCTACGTCGTCTAGCGGATCCTCGGAACGTCTTCGAAAGTCTTCGTAGACCAAGTTCACTTGGCTGACTTTGGATCTGATTGCATCTGTCTTGAAAAATCACGCGGCACTATTTCTCGTAATAGCTGTCATGTATTCCAAAACGAAACACTTTGAAAATATCTATAGGACGAAGTTGTACAGCAAATCAGTCAGAGCCGTGGAATATTCGCTAGACGTATCCTCGGGCATATTTCGTCCGTGTACCATGACGATCATTCACTCGTCTCGGCATTTTGTCAGTGGTTCGAATCCCGCTTTCCTTAAAGTATCGGCTTATAAATGTCCACACCCGGCCGACACTCAGTGGAAACGACTAATGTTATTTGCAAATACCCTTTCTCTCCTGCTGACGACACGACGCGGGACTTAATCAAAAAACATCGAAAAGGTGAATGATCCGGCCGCGGAAATGTTGCAGCTCTCGAATGTTCGTATTCGGGGGCGCGACGCGTTCGACGGTCTAATGGCACGCGAGAGACCGACTAGGGCTAAATTATTCGGGACTGATTAGCTCGCCTCGCAGTTTGCTTTTCGAGGAGCTCGAGCTCGAACTCGCGGACGGCGCGCCCCGAGCCTCGGGGAAAAATGGGTCAGGCTTTCGCGCGAACTCCCGACGTTACTTTGGCGCGCGCGGCACAAGATTAAACCGGCGCCTGGGAGGACGCGCGGCTCAACTTGGCGTCACGAAATCTGTCCATTGCCTGATTATCCATCGCAGCTAACAGTGCGCGCCAAGTACATTACCGCCGCTTTAAACGCTTTATTGCCGTTAACGTCCAAGCTCCACCGTGTTCGTCGTGTTCGGATTAGTAATCGATACTAATTCAATAGAAATTCTATAGCTTTAGCCTAACGTTCAAAATAGAGCTGCTCTCGCTCGTGGCGATGAGGTACGTAGATCTCATCGGAGAGAGAACGTCAGCGTTTACCGAAGCCCAATTTAAGCAGAGACCAGCCGGAATGCCGCGTCCACGTGGTTCTTGTCCTTTCCTTGCGTCGCCCGAATCGAATCGGCGCCCAAAAGCGGATCGAAACAATTGCACCGTGCGCTCGCGGCATAAATCGAGCTTTTGAAACAGGGGCTGGCTCGCGACAATCTCGTGAGTGGTTATCGGCTCCCGCGCGCGCGTCCCCCAGGTGTGACGCACGTCGCTCTGCTTCTTTAAGCCCCCCCCCTCCCCTTCCCGTCACCGTCCCTCTTTCCGACGTCGGGCGCCCGCGTCGAGTGGACGAAAAGAGGCGGAAGACCCGCTTGTCAAAAGTTGCATGCATGCGCACAAAAGGTGGCTCGACTAATTAGCTCGGGCGCTCTTCCGCCAAGGTCCACGCGCGACTATAATTAGAATTTGAAATCGAATTTTCGGCGAAAGTGAACACAGACTCACGCGCTCATGCGGGCATGCCGTATCAGCTGATAAACGAGCTTATGTGGGTCACTGTGATAATGCGATTCAAGGTCGTCGCGTGTAGTGCGTGTTTTTGGGCTTTACGAGGACAATCGAATTCCAGTCGACGTGGTTTGGTTTGCTCGGCGGACAGAGTACTCGAATGCGCGTCGCCTTTCGACGACGCGTTTGAAAGCTTTGAATTCGAGGGTTTTTCAGCGAGCTTAAGCTCGGTGACGCGGCCACATTTGCAATTCGATTCGCGCTCAATCACGACAATCACGACGCAACGGCAGACGCATCAAATTAAAGTCGTACAAATTTGACGGTACCAACTTGAACTTGCATAAGAGAAAAAAATAATTGCGATATCGGTCGGTAGCCTGAAATCATCGAAAGAAGCATTGCCGAACAGAAAATTTGTCGCGAAAGTTACTTGAAACACGCAAAGTACGAATTGAAATTGCAAATATATACTTACGAGCTGTTCGAGTTGGAGCCTAGGAATCGGTTCGTACCTTGCGAAGCTCTGCCGCTTTCGATCTCCTCGTTGATATACATTTACTCTTCCTCGTGTGCCGATTCGGCAGCTCTCGGTCTTGTTACGGGGAGGCTTTTCTTCTTTTTTGAATTTCATTTTGCTTAGGAATGAGGAATAAAAATAGGAATGTTTCGTTACCGTTCGTGCTCCACATGTGGTTATTGCGAAAAGAATCTAATAATCATAGACTGCAACAAGACTAGCTACGCGTTGCTCCGACGCGCGTCCGTATATTTGCCGTTCGGAGTCGATCCGGCAAGTAGAAGCAACGGCAGTCAGGTCAGGCATCGCCGATATTGACCCGTGTGAAACGCAGCGATGCGCCGTTCGCGCGTGCCCGAACGTTGAACGGTGCGTTCGCCCGTCGGCCAGCTTGAATCATCGCTGAACGGTCCGAAGAATTGCTCGCTCGAGTGCGCCGCAAAACAGCGCCGGCTGTCGCATAATCTCGCACTGGCTCGTTCGCCCGCGCGACCCGTTCGTGCCAGATATCAACGATTCTTTTTGCGTGCCTATGTGTACTGCGCTTCGGCTATCGAAACGATTCGCGAAATGGGAAAAACACGTGTGTCACGGATCGACTCGAGCGACCGTCGGCTTTCTCGATAGGCGGCATGATTCAACGCGGATGTGGGGGCGAATTGCTTTCGCTCGCTACAAATAAACTCTACATTAGCGTCATTCGCGTCCATCTCTCCGACTCAACTATTCCGGTACACAAGTATCGTAAGAACCGATGGATGCTTCGTTTAATCGTGCGCAATTGGAATTGACAGTAATTAAATCGATCGACGATCGTCCCCAATTGAAAGCTGAACGACGTAAATTGCTAACGTAGTTAATTTTTATTCGTCATATTTGACTGATACTCGCTTTCGTATACTGCTGTGAAATTCTACAGCACTCCGAATGGCCAAAATTCAGCCTTCATAAAAGAAACTTTGAGAGTGAACCGCGACTCAAATTAAAAAACATCGTTTTTCCTCGTCTGCGTATATTCACATAATGCACAGCTATGTTATCTCGCGCGCGTTTCCGCCGGGAGCATCAGTTTTCGACGAAAAGCGGCTCGGCTCGGCTCGCACGTCGGACACGGCAGCGGCCGAAAGAGCTTGCGCGAAGCGTTTGCTTCTTCGCTGCTCTCTCGTGAAAAAAAAAAATGCTTTCCTCGGCACACGTGAAACGAAGATGAATAAAGAGTCGGCAAAAAAACATCGCCGCGTCCGCGAATAATTCAGTTTGCGCGGCAGCTCGGCCGGCTGGCATCGCGACAAGTCCTTTTCGCAGTCGATGACCGTGAAATCGAGTGCCAAGCATGAGCGAGAGCAGCTTCTCCCCCTCTGTCTCTCGCTCGGTCAATGGTGTCGAGTGCAAATTCACCTTCTTCGCGATCGAACTCATCTTGTAATTGGACTTGGGTGCTCCGGGCTCGCTTCCAAGTTTTAGCTCGATCGATATCGTCGCTTTCAGCTCGATTCGCCCGATCGACGAGAACTCGCGGGGGACGAATGTTCTTTTATGCAGCGACTCCGGGGATAAGTGGAATGTGCATAATAGTTTCGCTCGATCAATATTGATAGTACTGCGTCTCTGAGAATATAAAACGAGCGCTTGCTATCTACTTTTTCATGAATGTCTAACCGGATGCAGGTCAATTGACCAAGTGTAAGCTACTTGCTATCTCGTTATTAACTATCCTTGAAAATCAATTAAAGTTTGATTTCCCATGGTCAGCATTACTCCGACGCGCCGATCAAAGCGCGACTTCGACCAAAGTTGATGTTCCGAGAGTTGAATCACTGCCGAAAAGACATCAAGTTTGCGGGGGGGGGGGGGGGGGGGGATAGACACAGTTGGTTGGCGACTGTGCGAGGAGACGCGAATCGATTATCCGCTGCGCGAAGGACAAAAACCGCGCGAACCGACTGAAGCTCACGCGTCTCGCTCTTCTATTTCGCTCGATTACAAAAGCTCCCGTATAATTGGGTTACACTGCTGCGCGAAAAATGGATGCTCGGCTCCGCCTGTCACTTGTCACTGAAATCAGGTCGTCTTATTTATGTCGAGAGACACTCGTCGACAGACGAGAGGGAGAGAGAGAAAAGGAAAATGGGGTTTTCATTGAAAATTTTAGTCATCTCGCGTGCAAGCTCAAAGGGAATGCGCATGCGTTAATTATTCGGCTCGTTGCACAGTTTTAGCTTTCAATTGCACGTATACGTTGGTTGATACATTTCAAGCGTCCGCGGTAGGTGTGTATGCGCGCACGTCAGCCGAGAACGAAGGGGGGCACTTTGACTACCAAGCCGGAAATTTCACTTTTTTTTAATTTTCCGCTCGATTTATTCATTCATTTGCGCCGATGGATGTTTACGTATCTCTCGCTGGAAATACGTAACGCCTATGCTGACGCGGCTTTGGGAACTGCACGTCGCAATCAGCTCGCGCGCAAATCACCGTCGACGGCGCTTCGTCGCAGCTACAAAAAGAAGCGCTGTCAGTCGCGCGAGTGAAGGGAGCTGAAAGCTAACGATTATCTTTGCACGTTTCGTGCATTAAAGCGCCCCAACACCCCCTCCATATTCATTGAGCCTGTCGCAGCGCCGCCAAGGCATTTGTCGCTTTTCCTTCATTCGTTTCGTAGTATTTTGCCCGTGGTCGTCGGCGAGCTACTGCATATTTACCAGCACTCGCATTTATTTTTCGTCCCGGTAAATCTATTTTATCCCGGAGTAGTTCAGCCAACGAGGGTATTCATAGTATTTTTATCGATCGCCCGGTGCTATAAGCGTGTATGGTGTACGTAGTTTTAGCTTGCGGATATACATACGCGCGTGAATACATACAGGTGTATATATACATATGGACGATATCGCTGGTTTACAGTCGAATCCACGCTATTTCTGCCAAGGCGCGTGGGCGAAAGAGTTTCGACTGAGCGTTCGCGTAAACAATAAAAAGAAAGAGCGGCCAACGAGCGTGTACCTCTTGTTTCGCAGCTGCCGAGAGCCGAAACAATCGTAGTCACGCGCGCGCCAGTCCGAGGACTGGTTATTTCGAAGAGGATAGCCGGAAGTTCGCGTACGAGGCAAAACTATAAGTAGTCGCACGGCGAATCAACAAAAGTGAGAGAGGAAAATGTATCTACACGTGGTCCGATGCCGACGTATCGTCCACTTCTCCCTCGACCGATCCTTCAGCCATGGAGAGACGGAAATTGGGTCTCCCGATTTCCGGATGATCCGACACGTTCCACCACTTACGCCGCGCCGCGCGAAATATGAGAGAATAAAAGCTTCGCGCCCCGACTAGGTCGTATATAAAGGTGAGTGTGCGAGCTTCCGTTCCGATTTTTCACTTCCGACCGTTTGCGACCTTCTTTCCTCTCTTTCTTTCCTTTCTCTCCGCCTTCGAGGTGCGATAAGCGACGGCCAAGGCTCGCTCTTCCTTTCGTACGTGCGCACGCGTGAGTTTGAAATGTTGCTAGACCGAGGGCCCTAACTAATGTCGCTTTGTTTGCTCTTTTCTGTTGCAGGTATGAGATCTTGTATTTGGGTTTTGTTTGGCGTACGCGGCGACTTTGCATATCGAATTTATTCAAACGGCTCCGTAGATACGTGCGTCCGCAACTGTGCGCGCCAAATGAAACGGATATTTGCTTTTCAATGAAATAATAAAAAAAAGAACGCGCACGGGATGCTGATTATAATGCTGAAAATCCGTTCGAGATATCGAGAGAGAATAAAGGGGAAAAAAGTTCCTTGTGCGTGAAAAATCGACGACTTTGGACCATTTCCAAGCCAAAGTCAGCTTTTTAAAACAGCGCAATATCAACAAGGATTCACCTTGGAAGCTCGCTCCGTCAATTCGATTGATTTCGCACCGTCGCGTCGATTATTATCAATCTCGAAAAAGGCACGGTTTCACGCGCGTAAGCACTTTTTCTACTTCCACTTGTCTATTATTACGCGTGCATCGAATGGAATATCGACCCGCGAGCGCCTTAAGATAAATTTGCATGTTAACGACGCATTAAGGCCGGAAAAGGAGCCTTGAATACGTTCGACAGATGCGGGAAAAAATAACGCACGCCGTATCGCTTTCTTTTTCGGCGATAAAAATAAAGTCAGTGCCATTTACAAACGGTAGAAAAAGCATCAATGTCCGTGGCATAAGATGAACTTGGGTATTTCTGGTTATTTTTTTCGACTTATTGACGAGCGGCGCCCAGTTTACGAGTGACTCGCGGTCGGCCGACGGCGGTCGAAGTCTAATTGACTTGCGCAGCCAGGAGCGATAACTCCCTCCCCCCGCTTCGTACGTCGAATCGCGAGGCTTTCGCGCGCCAGCAACAGCGGAGAAACCTCGGGGACTCGGCATTCGACTGCTCTATTTATTCCGGCAACGGTCGAGCGACGATTCGGCCGTGAGCCGCGCATCGCAATCAAGCGTCCGCTTGTTCTTTTATCGCGGCTGCGGGCGGCGAGCGCGCGATAACGGGCGCGGGCCCAAGACCGACGGCTCACTGAACGGCGCGCTGGTGCTGCTGCGCAGGGGTCGAGCGAGCGAGCGAGCGAGAGCAGCCGGCCGACCAGAAAGACGGGCAGGAGAGAGCGAGTAGCGGACCAAGATGATCGACCCGAGCTCCTCGGAGGAGGAGAGCGAGGAGGACCAAGCCGTCCAGCCGGTCGCGGGTGCGCGCGGGCGGCCCGTTATGGGTGGCGGCCCGGCCGCCCAGAGCCGCGGCAGGGGCCTGGGCCCGGCCGCGGGCGCGATGGGCGGGCCGGGCGGAGCGCCGGCGGGCGGGGGCTCGGCACTCGGGGGAGGCTCGCCGAGCCTCGGCCAGGCCGGGCTCGGCGCCAAGTCCGCGCTGCACGCCGGCCAGGCCGACGGCGTCGACGCCGTCCAGCAGGGCCTGGACGTGCCCCACTCGCAGCACATGGCCAGCGCGCGCAACTCGCTGTCGCCGTCCATGAGCGCGCACCAGGACGCCGCCAGCTACGGGCAGAGACCCACCAGCCCCTCGCCCTCGCTGGCCAGCGAGAAGACCGAGCAGGAGATCGCGGTGAGTTGGCTCGTCCGCGCTCCTCTGCGCCTCCTTGTTGTGTCGGCGTGGCTTCACGAAGGCGGAATGTTCGAACCGCGCAGGACAAGCAGGAGCGCGAGGAGGAGGAGAGAAAGACGAGGCTGCAGCTGTACGTGTTTATTTCGAGGTGCATCGCCTATCCGTTCAACGCCAAGCAGCCGACAGACATGACGAGGCGGCAAATGAAGATCACCAAGCAGCAGTTGGAGACGTTCTGCACTCGCTTTCAGGTGAGCTCGATCGTTGGCGAAACGTCCGCGTGCTCGATTGATTGTCCAGTTCCCCGGGTCGTCGGCGACGTGGCGGAAGCCTCAGAAAAAGGGCAGAAAGAGAGACTCGCGCCGCTTAATTTGCGGAAGCCCCGGAGTTATCTTGGCGAGCACGTATACGAGTATGTAACCTTTGCGACAGTGGCAGCGTTGTACTCGAGACGAATCGATCGGTCTCTCTCTCTCTCTCTCTCTCTCTCTCTCTCTCTCTCTCTCTCTCTCTCGCCAGTGCGCGGCTTTAAGCTCGACTGCGGGTGTATCGTTTGCTATTGTCACTATTGCGTTTCGCTCGACTGGTCGAGGCCAAAGGATTGCCATCGGTGGCTCTTCTGCATCGCGAGCCGCGCCGACAAGGGTCGTTCGGAGGCCGTCTAATCGGCGCTGGCGCTTGTTCGCAGGCCTTCCTGAGGGGCGAGACGCAGATAATCGCCGACGAGGCCTTCCACAACGCGATCCAGAACTACTTCGACGTGTTTCTTAAGTCGGAGCGCGTTGTGCGCATGGTGCAATCGGGCGGTTGCTCGCAGCACGACTTCCGCGAAGTATTCAGGATCAATATCGAGAAGCGTGTTCGGAGCCTCCCCGAAATCGACGGTCTGAGCAAGGAGACGGTACTGGCCTCGTGGCTGGCCAAGTTCGACTGTATCTTCAAGGGTACAGGCGACGAGGACGCCAAGCGGCCGTCCAGAATGCAGCAGCAATCGCTCAACTCCGAGCTCATACTGTCGAAGGAACAGCTCTACGACATGTTCCAGCAGATACTTGGCGTGAAGAAGTTCGAGCACCAGATCCTGTTCAACGCCCTGCTGCTGGACTCGGCCGACGAACAGGCCGCCGCCATCCGCAGGGAGTTGGACGGACGCGTCCAGCGAGTAAACGAGATGGAGAGGGTGAGTTGGCCCGTCGATCGCGATCGGCAATCGGCAATCGGCAATCGGCAGTCAGCCATCTCGCCGCGTTGCAGAACCGAGTAGGCAAGTCCAGCGGCAAGTTCCTCGTAAAGGAGATGGAGTCGTTGTACATCGAGGAGCTCAAGGCGTCCATCAACCAGCTCATGCAGAATCTGGAGAGTCTGCCGGTGAGCAAAGGTTCGATAGACGCCAAAAGCGGCTTGCAGAAGCTGAAACGCCACCCGTTGCGTGGCGATCGCTCCCGCCCCCGCAATCAGAGCTCCTTGGCCAACGACTCTGCTGACTCGGAGCCACAGTTGACCAAAATGGACGTTGCCCTCTCGTTTCCACTGGAGGTCATCGTCATGGAGGTCAAAGGCATCAAGAGTCTCGCTCCGAACCGGATCGTTTACTGCACCATGGAGGTCGAAGGCGGCGAGAAACTGCAGACGGATCAAGCCGAAGCGTCCAAGCCCATGTGAGTGGTCTCGGTATTTTTCTTTAGAGATCTTCGGGTTCTTCGGTGATTTCATCCGTACGCGAGAAGAAAAGGAAAGTCATGACCGTACCCGTGTATATCCGATTCTCTTGGAGTTTGCTCGGTTACGAGTACTTTGATTCAATCGATTAGCCGTGTTTCGGTCGCTCATCCACGTCGTAAGCGCGGACATTCCGACTTTTCCTTCTCCAGTCAACGTCCACGGTCCTTCGGTTTCTTGAAAACTTTCAAGTTGAGGAAAAAACTTGCTTCGGCGCAAAACTATCCACATTGGAAAACAAGTTTCAGCAGCGAAAATAAAATTAGCCGAGTTTTTTTCCAAAGGGACGTGCGATAGCCGAAGCTTAACTTGCCTCGGTATTTCCCTTCTTTTTGCAGCGAATCCAATTATGCAAATCCAGTTAGACGCAATGTGTAACTTTGATTAAAGTTGAAAGATCGAGCGACGGTCCGGATCTCCCTCGGCGAGGAGGGTCGCTTTGAATTTTGTCGTTCGCCGATGGGGCGGGCATTTGAATTTGGAGCTCGACAACGAAAGAGGCTTTTCCGCAGGTGGGACACGCAAGGCGATTTCACGACGATGCACCCGTTGCCGGTGGTGAAGGTGCGCCTCTACACGGAGAACTCGGCGATCCTCGCGCTCGAGGACAAAGAGCTGGGCAAAGTGTTGCTGAGGCCGACGCCGCTCTCGTCGCGGGCGCCGGAGTGGCACAAGATGACGGCCTGTCGCGGCTGCGCCGATCAGGATCTCCGCATCAAGATCGCCTGTCGCATGGACAAGCCGCTGAACATGAAGCACTGCGGCAACCTGTACGCGGTCGGCAAGTCCGTGTGGAAGAAATGGAAGAAGCGCTACTTCGTCCTGGTCCAAGTCTCACAGTACACCTTTGCGATGTGCTCGTACAAGGAGAAAAAGAGCGAGCCGTCGGAAATGATGCAGCTGGATGGCTACACGGTGGACCACGTCGAGTCCGCGTCCGCGTCGCTGATGGCGGGCATGGACTTGCAGGGCGGACGGTACTTCTTCAACGCGGTGCGCGAGGGCGACAACGTGGTGTTCGCCTCGGACGACGAGAACGAGTGTCACCTGTGGGTGACGGCCCTCTACCGCGCCACCGGCCAGAGCCACAAGCCCACTCCGCCGATCTCGGTCGCCAGCAAGAGTTCGAACCTGAGCAAGATCCAGGGCGACACCGACAAGGCCAAGAAGCACGGCATGGAGGACTTCATCAGCGCCGACCCGTGCAAGGGGCAGCACAACGACCTGTTCAAGCTGCTGCAGAACCTCACGCTCGACTACAGACTCAACGACCCCTACTGCTCGCTCGGCTGGTTCTCGCCCGGCCAAGTCTTCGTCCTCGACGAGTACTGCGCCAGGTAGCCTCCGCTTCGGGCCGCCTCGGGCCGCCCCGCTCACCCGCTCACCCGCTCTGCCCGCTCTGCCCGCAGATACGGAGTGCGCGGCTGCTTCCGTCACCTGTGGTACCTGAACGACCTGCTCGACCGGGCGGATCGCGGCATAATGATCGATCCGACCCTGGTGCACTTCAGCTTCGCCTTCTGCGCGAACCACGTGTACGGCAACAAGCCCGACGGCGTCACCGCCATCATGCACGAGGAGAGGGACAAGTTCCTCGAGATCAAGGAGAGGCTGATGCTGCTGCTCGAGAAGCAGATCACCAACTTCCGGTAAGTGCGCGCGGCCGAGAAGGGGGAATTTTTCTCGCTTCGACGAGCTGCTCGACTTCGCAGGTACAGCTTCCCGTTCGGTCGGCCGGAGGGGGCGCTCAAGAGCACGCTCTCGCTGCTGGAGCGCGTGCTGATGAAGGACTCGGTGACGCCGGTGGAGCAGGACGAGGTGCGGAACATGATACGGACCTGCCTGGAGACGGCCGCCCACGTGAACTACGAGAGACTGTCGACGGAGGCGAAGGTCGGCGAAGATCTGAACGGCGACGTGTGCGTGCCTCCGAGTAAAAAACTCGAGGATCTCATACACCTTGCCGAGCTCTGCGTCGACCTTCTCCAACAAAACGAGGAACACTATTCGGAGGTATTAGTTAGGTTTTTAGAATTCAGTGTTGATTGTTTATTAACAGCCGGGGCTCTCGAGGTAAAGAGGAGATGTGCTTGCATGCTCTCGTTGTTTGTTGTCGTTGTCGTTGTCGTTGTTCACGAGGACTTGAGGTAAGGGTCCCTGTGCCTCCCCAGAAGACATATCGGCCTCGCGGCAATAGTGGCTTTTCAATTGAACCTTACGATCGCAAACTTATGTAGTTAGCTTCGAGCTCTGTCTAGCTGTTGTGCTTTTTAGTTGACTTTCCATTTGGATTAGAGACTCTTAGAGCTCGCGAGTTGGTGCTTGCTTTGTTCTTTTTTCCCCAGTCGTGCTAGTCGTCCTAGGAGGACGCGTTCATCGTTGCTCGGTTTGCTCGATGCATCTTCAGAGCTATCGTTCCGTCGTCGCTCGCGTGGGATGCCGGCTATCGTCGGCTCAAAATCCGTTCACGCAATTTTTCGATCAACAGTCGCAACTCACCTTAGCGAATGTCGCGAGTCACGCGAGTCATTATCCATAAAATGCTTCGTTAACTAGGTCCTTCGGTACTCGTTATCGTTATTGCGGAGCCTCGATATCGAGTATAACGATTCACCTCTGCATGTAGAAATCATAAGACGACTGTACGTGGTGGTCGCCCGTAAGTTCGTCGATGCTTGCGATCGGAAAATCGGGTGAAGCATCGCGCCTCGTCCGATCGTCCCACGCGACGTGGAAGGATCGAGGAATCTGTCGAGGCGAGCAAGCGCGACGACGACGCGTTCTCCCGCGCGCAATCAAAGAAAAAACCCATAGCCAATCGTCGTCGTCGTCGTCGTCGTCGTCGTCGTCGTCGTCGTCGTGAAAAAGGAACAAATCAACTCGGTTTCGTAGAGAGTAGCACTCGAAAGTAAAGAGTCTTAGCGCAACTCACTCGATTCAGCGGCAACCTACGTTTTGCGGCATTTGCGCGCGTAGTTTACGAAGTTACGAGAGTGACCGGGCAAAAGGTGTCTTCTGGGTTCTCGAGGGCCTCGCGGCCAGAGTCGGCGTCCCCACCGCTCTGGGCCAGAGAGTCGAGAGAGGAGAGCGTCGCCCGCCGTAAGTGTGTGTCGTCCGATCTTTTCACGTTTCGCTCCTACTACACTGCACCGCAGGCGTTCGCCTGGTTCAGCGACCTCCTGGTGGAGCACGCCGAGATCTTCTGGGGCCTCTTCGCCGCCGACATGAACAAAGTGCTGGCCGAGCAGCCGCCCGACACTTGGGACAGCTTCCCGCTGTTTCAAGTGTTGAACGACTATCTCAGAGTCGACGGTAAGCCACGCCACCGCGCGTCGCCGATGCATTGAACGGGCAGGTCCCCCGCTATTTGGATCTTTTTCTCTGATCTCTTGGATTACGTAGCGGTCGAATGTTGTTTTAGCGCGAGCAAAGTCAGGTAGGCAATCTACCAGCTCGTCAGCTGAAAGCTTGCTTATCTGGGTAGACCGTTAGATTGCCGTGTGTTGTGCTTCATCGAGTTTCATCAAAGTCACGAGTGGCAGTAGCTCGCTTTCGTACTATCCGTTTGGCGAATCCAATGGATCTCATTGGAAAATAGTTGTACTCGTAATCGCTTGCTAGAATAGACACTGGACAATTGTTTATTCGAAGAATCCCGGAGAACAGCCAGAGATCACGAATGCAATTAGGGAGGTGACCAAAGTACATTGGGCAACGAGCAGGACTTTTCTAACGTAATCTTTGACCGCGAAACGTAGACAATCTGAGAGACGGGCGGTTCCACCAGCTGTTGCGAGAGACCTTCGCCCCACTGGTGGTGCGCTACGTGGACCTGATGGAGACCTCGATCGACCAATCCATCCACAAGGGCTTCGAGAAGGAACGCTGGGAGATCAAGGGCAACGGCTGCGCCACCTCGGAGGATTTGTTCTGGAAGCTCGACGCATTGCAGTCGTTCATCAGCGGACTCCACTGGCCGGACGCGGAGTTTCGCGGTCATCTCGAGCAGAGGCTGAAGCTCATGGCGACGATTCAAATCGAGGCATGTATCCTGAAGACAGATTCGGCTTTCCAGTCTTGGCTGAAGAAGGGCGGAGTGACGTTCAGCTCGACCGACTACATTATCCCGTCGGAGATGTGCGCCATGGTCAATGTCATCCTCGAGGCGAAGAATCAAGACTTCAAACTCTGCACCATTAACGGAGTCGACATGGTAAGTGAGCGACGCGACAGATCGATCATTGTCTCGCGTCCGTCGCTTGACGTTCGAAGGACTTTCGCTGGGGTGTCAACGTAAGATTACAACGAGCAACAACACGGACATTATTATTCGTTGGACAATTAGTTAGTCGTTGGCCCGATTGTAAAAGGCTCGCGCGCTCTCGCGTAAAGCGACGCTCTGCGGCACCAATGGACGCACGCACACACGCTCGGACGCACGAGTCTTTTACGATTGTTTTTTCGGGCATTATCTTGTTTCTTTGATTTCCTAATCATCCTCACTTCTTCTATATTATGGCAGTAATCTCTCTATCGTAGGAGTGAGCTTTAGACAATGGACAATGAGTGTGTTGATTGATTGAGAGGACTGATCTAGGTAAAGGCAGTTTTCCTTGCGCTCACTAAGCAGCGATACAAGCTATACGTATACATTGCTGCGCTTTTCTCTTTTTCTTTTTTTCTTTCTTTTTTTCATTCTACGTTATACTTTCACCCCCTACATATGTAGCGAGATTCTACATCTTTTTCCTTTCACACAGCTTTAGCCAAAGTAAACGATTCTCCTTCATTTTTTTTCATTCTCGTCGTCCAAGCATTCACGTACATTAGATTAGCGATTCATTTGTTCGCCAAGAGAAACTAATTGTAGTTCATTCTTAGTTAAACAACAACCCTAGAAATTTCATTTTTCACGAACGAGTACATGTTCGGAAAAGTATTAACGATTAAAAATAACGTCCAATTGACAAAACTAGTTTATAGATACGACATTGCATTTCGAAGCTCCGTAGAATAGCTGCGTTCACATTAGCTCTGGACCCTTCGGACTTTTCTGGATGGAAAATCCGAAGAATTCGCGGAATGACAATTGAGTCTAACGAATGTGCATTGTGTTCTTTTTTTTCCTACATAGTATCAGTACCATGCGAAAATCGATGACATGATTGAGAAAACTCTGGCAACGATGAATCAAGGAATGATCAACAAACTCGTTAGCATTCTGGAGGCAACTCTTTCCAAGTTGTCGCGTTACGACGAGGGTTCGCTTATTGGTTCCCTTCTCAGTTTTACGGTAATGCACAGAATCGATTGTCCGCAAGCCTGGAAATAAATCGATTACGAGATGGAGAATCGACCGTTATTTTGCAGAAAGTGTCAGGAAGCGGCAAGGACATGGGACAGGCCTACGTGACTTTCACGAGAAACAGCTCCGAACAGATTCGCAGCAAAATTATCGATGAGCTCTGGATCCTCAACTTCTTTGAGGTACACTGAAACTGGCGACGAACGAGTGGAGTACCTGTGTGCGTATTACCGACGTAATTTGTTCCCGCTGATTTTTCGTAGCAATGGTACACCGCTCAAATTCAGTTGCTGTGCAACTGGCTGACCGAGCGCATGGATCACAGTCTGCACCCGTTCCAATGCACCTGCCTCGCGCAGGTCGTCAAAAAGATCTACTCGGATTTCGAGCTTCAAGGCGTCATGGAAGACAAGCTCAACTCCAAGACATATCAGACAGTGGCCCAGCGTATGCAGACCGAGGAAGCAACTTGTGCCTTAACCATGAACTCTCATAACGATGAGTACGTATTGGTCAACTTTTATATGTACTATGCCCGTAATATGTACGGACGTGTACAATCTAGTACAGAGCGTTTGTACTTGAATGTCAATTATCTTTCGCGGATGCGCTTGGAATTTTAACGATTTACCAAGTCCACTAGAGCGATGTTCAATATTACACGTGCGAATATCTCGTAAAACTCGAGTTATCGTATTTGCGTCGAAAACTCGTAGCATCTAGCAGATTTACGAGGGTCCCCTCGTTGCGCGATACCGAACAATCTCAAATTCGTAGAGTTTGAGATGAATACTTTTGCGTTTTCACGTTTTCAGGGGGCTGTCTGAGAACGGCAACGACGACGACGTAGAGCGGCCCAAGACGAAAGTGACTATCGTCGAGAACCTGACGGGCGATGACGCCAGAAGCATCAGCAACGTCACGTCCAATGTAGCCAGCCGTGTCGGCAGCATGTTCGAGAAGGGAATCGGCGGTCTGTCCACCAAACTCGGTGGCTTCTTCTAAATAAGAGGCAGCAGCCACGACAGCAGAATCAACTTTTTTCGCTCTCTCCTTCTTTCTCTTTCTCTTTCTCTTTCTCTTTCTCTCTTGATCTCTTTCTCTTTGCAAAGCCGGCAAGCTTAGTTCCATTCGCTCTTTACTCTTCTAACAAGCATGTTGACGACCGTTCAAGCCGGACTTGTTGACGCCTCTGACACTCTTCGTTTTCACGTCCTTACCGTTCTCGTGACAGTCACTGGCGCAGAGGCACATGAAAGTATCTAGTCCACCCCGAAAGCTTCCCAGCCGTTATTATTGCGTACACCCGAGGGCGCATTATTTACGCATTGTAATCGTGACGAGTTAGAGCGCCGAAATCAGATAAAATATATAAATATATAAATATATTCAAAGTTTATCATGTACAAGCAGCATTTAATAAAATAACGAAAATGAAAAGTGCAAGTACGCGCACTGCTGGCGAGGTGTCTTGGCCGAACACGAACTGTTATAAGCCTAGAGCGAGCGTGTAAAGCGTGCGAGTAGAAAGATATACGTATAGAAAGAAAAATACATAAGGTGTTGAAAGAATGGATTGCTTTCCTATATTTGGCGATTTATTTGTGTAATGGGTTGAACGATTATCCGATAGCCACCACGGTGGCGTTGTCCGGCAAAATGCCGCTTGTTTTAGTTTCGATTCCGGATAAGCGGACATACATATTTACCGTCGTTGCTAGTGTGTACGTGTAATTGTGCTGGGTCGCCGCGCGTTGCAGCGTTCAAGGCGAGTAATTGCGATCGGTCGACGAAAAATCACGAAAAAAGAAGGAAAACAGATTGCCCTCCCTCGCCCCCTCGCAATCGCACGGTGATCAGCTCCTCCGCGGGCGCGCTCGTAACTTTCTGCTATGCCGCGGCCGTTCCCTTTTCTTCTATAAATGTTTGTTCGCGCACGCCTCGCGGCCGATAATATGTATGAGCTTCAGCGAGTCCCGGCCCGTCGTACGTCACACGCATGGATATGTTTTCGATGAAAAAATGATCGTCTTTTGTCCATCGCGCTTAGATGCACCTACTCGCGGTCTCCACTTTTTTCATAAGCGACGTATAAAGCAATGCTTCGTCTTTCGTTTTCTCTCCTTCTTCTCTTGTCCGATTCCGACCTATATTTGCCAACTGCAAACGATGCGGAGATAGCGCCGACGACCTTCAGCGTTTTAGAAGTGGTAGTTTTTCACGCAATAATATCGAATAACGATAAAGTAATAAATAATGTTAATAATCGATAATAGTAATGACTTGAGCAGCTTTCGTCACAGAGATATGAAAGAAAGCAAATAATAAATAGATCTATGCCGGTAAAACAAAGCAAAGAGTGATGCCGCTGGTGACAATTATCAGATTCCAATCCGTCTCTTACGATTAGATGTCTCACGTAAAAGCGTACGGAAGCTGTTAATAGATAAATATCATTCCAAGTTGATGGTTTAATAACGAACGGACGGTGATGTTGGCATAGCAGAAACGAGCGAGCCCGCATAGGTCCGCGAGAAAGATGTGCAGCATCGACGCCGCAGCGAGAGCTCGTGTTGTCTCGATCGAGGACTATAAAAGGGTTTATACAGGGTCGGTGCCTTGAATAGCGAGCTCAGCGTCGCGATGACAACAGGCAAGGGAGAAGATTTGAATGAGCGACGACGAGCAGCTCCATCCGAGTGACGATTAACGACCGTTCGATCGAGCTATCTACCGAGCACGAGTACACGCAGGCCTGCGCACGCACACCTTGCACACCTTTCTGTACCGCGGCCATCTCTCTACCTGTATCCCCCCCCCCCTCTTCGGTCAAGTCCTTCCTCGAACGCGTATCGCGTAATTGGTCGCATCGTGTAAATAATGTACGCGCGAAGGATTAACGAAAGAAAAATGCTATTAAAAAGTGCATCGTTATGGATATTTAATAGCGCGAGAGGAGGTGTTTTCGTATATCTTGCCGCGTATACAATCTCAATCAAGCGTGCTGTGCTATTTAAGCGTACCCGAACGTGGGGTGGTGGCTTCCCGACAAAAAAATTGTAACGGTGTAATGTGGGCTGAGTGTGTCTGAGCTTTGACGATCGCACCTGGAAACAAATGGAATTCTAGCGCTGGCATTCCAGAAGCTAGATTGCCACGTTTCTCGTTGTGCGAGTCCTTGGTAGCAAAGGTGCTTTGGAAAACGGTCGCCGGTGGTTTTTCAATCGTTCTACGATTTGTTGATTCTGATGCGAGAACAGACTTTTAAGAGACGTTGAATTCGATTTAACTGTAACTAGCGCTTAAACAATGTTGAATATCGGAATATTTTACATTCCAAAGTTAGCGTTGTTGAGGCGACGGAGTGCGTAGGGTTAACTAGGTATTTTCAGAAATTTTCCAACGTTTGTCGACACGTTATATATCACGTTCATTTTTTACACGACGATTCTCCAATTCTGTCGTGACTGTTTGAGAAACATTCTCCTATACAAACGTTTCGAGTCCTCGAGCATTGTAAACTATTTGCCTGTTGATAAAGTCAAATGTTTAGCCAGGTTTTTCCCAAGAAAATCTAATTCCTATAGAAATCTCTCGCTTTCGCTTCATTTTCTGGCGAACGCTCCTCGAGCATCGCGAAGCTGCTATCTTGTTGCCGCAAAAATGGAGCGTTTTTCAAGCACGATCTTGCTATTGGGGATCTTATGGAAAGCGAAAAATCTCTACGCGTAATAAAGCTTCTCGCCTGCGTGAAATGTAGAGAAAAACAAAGTTAAGTAAAGTGAATAGAGTGTGTGAACGTACCGTTGATGGTTGGTGAGAATGGGGGAGGGTGCAGCTGGCGTTACCATCCAATGCCGCGCGCTCATATCAATCAATCGCTCGTTGTATTTTTCGAGGAGACAACCGCTACATATCATTTTTCTTATGGATATAATCATGCAAATTGTCTATTTTCTAATGGGAGATTCTTCGAAAGAATATATAAATGATATACAAATATATTTTGTTACGTGCACGTGATATTTTTCTCTCTTTCCGCGCGCGGCTAGATGCGGAAGGTGACGCCAGCGGGGCACGCATTAGCGAATCGAACCAGTCGGATGAAATGTCGACTCGACGTTTGCTCCTTATTGTATCATGCGATTAACTGAACTTCGATCCGGATCGTTGAATGATGTCGATGGCAGAGCAAATATGTAATAGAAAAACACGTACGGTCCTCATTATGAGCTTTCCTATATATCTACTACTATATATTTTCGCACGTTCATCACTTGACAAAAGTCAAGAAAATAATGAGAGAAACAAACGTAAACGTAGCCTCTTCGATCAAGCGTAAATAGATGTGTATGCATCGTACATCATCTTCTGTACCTCTCGTCGCATACATAACAATGTTTATGATGATACAATGTGAAAACTCTTTGAAAAATAATGACAAAAAAATACCTAATGTAAATGATACACACATAGTTTTTCTTCGAACAAGATAACAGAATAAAAGTCGTATTTTTGAATCAGCCACAGTGATGTAATGACGATAGATTATTTTCGACTATATTTATATTCTTCGAGGCAACATTTGCGCTTGCTCGGTAGCTTAAATCGCGAGATTTTTTCATTCAACTTCTATGATAAAAAAAGAAAAAAAAACGACGACGACGACGACGACGAGGTTTACATTTCTATGCTGATCGGCCTGTTTGCGCCTTATGCCTTTGTCTTTGTGTTTAACAAGGATAGTGAATCTACTCTACACTTTAGGGGAGACAACATAATAAAAGCTTGCGAATACGCGATTGATAATATTGTGCCATAACTATGGTTTTCTGCAGAGCAAAGTGCCGGTGGAGTCGAAGCGCGTCTGCCGTTTTCGAGTTATTTCTCTCCGCAAGCCCAAATTCTATTCGACGTTTCTTTTCAACTTCTCGTCGAGTCTCTTCTTCTTCGTACATATCATGCACAAAAGTGATGGCTTCTTTGGTGTAACTTCAGTTGAATAGTTTGTAGGCAAAAAGGTGCATCGGCGCGTCGATTCTACCGCGAAAGATATGTCAGATCAAAGACGGGAATGAAAGCAATTCTTAAATCGCTGATCTTTCTTCGTGACGTTGTAAGTTATTGACAATGAGTAGGTATATCGTAAAACAAATAAACTATGATGATTATTCATTATTACTGAGGAATCCTTATATTACACAATTATTATTCTTACTATTAGTGAAAAAGAGACAACCAAAAAAAGGCAAAAAAATGAATAAATCTTTCGTAAGAATAAATCTTTCGTAAATCTATGGATAGAGATTCGAAAGTTCTAGTTAAAAAGAATAATTTTTACTCTACTATTTAGCCTAATGTTCTAACGGTATTTTTCTCTCCTTAAGAGCCGTTGTTCTGACCTCTGTCTCTATCTCTGTCTCATTCCCTTTCTCCGCCGAATCACCCGCAACTATACGTTAAATATTCTTCTCTTCTCTCCGATGGGAAAACAAGAGCATTTCATCCCCCGATTAATTTTCACGTGCTTTCGCCGTAAACGAGTGAGTGTTTTGTAATAACGATCGCGCCGAGATTTTCGCAAGGATCAAAATCTCTGGGACGAGTCGTCGCGTAAAAGTGAGCGGACCGTATGAGCATTAAGATGTATTTATCCAAAAACAGTATCCATAAGAGATGCAGTCACGCGTGCACGTTGTATAATGGTTCACAAGTGACGATCGAGAGAATATTTAAGCAAAATATACAAAGAGTAATTAAAACACACACGCAAGTAAACAAAAAAATAAAATAAATAAAAAATTATGTAAAGCGACAAGCGGTACGATACATATGTAACAGTGACGGTTGTATTAATACAAAAAATACGCAGAGCAGACGAAACGATAAGGTTTGTTTATTTTACGACGGATATGTTTATATCATTCGTTTCCATTGTGCAATTTAATAACGACAGTTACGTTATGTAAATAAAATAATATTTAAATGATTTGTTCGCATCATTTTTTATTTCCTATCCACACATTCTTTTTCTTATTTTTTTCTCAAAATAGTATCTGTTATTGCCAATGAAACTACTAAAGATATAATTGTTCGACAATTATATCTTAGTAGCGAATGTGAATGAATGATATCATGTATTTGTACTTATAATGTATTTTACAGGATGATTTTTATACATGTGTACATACTAATAGAATCTCAAAGTTGAAATTAAAATAATTCAAATACTGTAATAAATAATAGTAAAAGATTGAAAAAAAAGCTCGATGCGCGCTAAATATCTCTACCCTGATTCTTTAATAAACACAAAAATCGTATGCGACAAGTAATTTCCAGTGGGGTTTCTGCTGTTGCCAACTTGAAATGACAAATATTTAACATAACCTGAAAATGATTAGGTAAATTTAAATACAACGTATTTTATTTTAATAATACATTTTAATAACATATTTTGATAAAAGTGTAAAAATATTCAAATTTTTAGCCAATAGTTACGACTAAAATATTGCTCAGATTAATTATAACATTAATAAAACATTTGTAAGCTGGAGTTAGCTAATTTCGTTACAACGTTATCACTCGAAATATTTTTCTCAGGACCCCTAGAAATTATTGCGTTATGTAAAATGATTATGATGTAATTTCTAGGGGACGAGGAAAAAAAATTTTTCCAATGGCAACGCTGTTTCGTTATTACTTTTAAAGTTACGTTGCATGAATTTGTAAAGTTGGGCTATTTTGAATTCTTATGTTGGCAGTAATTTATTGCGTAGGAGTTTCTTGTGTCTATTGGAGAATCAGACCTAGTAATTCTAAAGACGAATCGAAGTTTTTTTGACGTACTCACGATTATTATATGGGCGCTAATTTTTAAGATTCCTTCTACTTGGAGCTGACAAAATAGGATACTGAGTATCGCAGGTTACCATCACGTGGTCACTTAATGTATCAATATATTATATAATTAGTCGACCATGTGTGGCGATCAGAAAAATTTATGTATTCAAATATGTAACAATAGCGAGCTTCAAAAAGTAAAAGACAGAATCATATTATACAAACTTTAACTGAGCTGAAAGCGAGTATATAAGAACCGCCGCAATAGAAAAACGGAACTACTATTTATAAGATCATCTGTGCCTTTACTCTATAATTATAATCTTCTTTATATCGTACAAATAGGAAAATATTGTTATTCTATTCGAAATATAAGCTCTACATGAACTGATTATTGTTGTTCTTTTAATTTTTTTTCAATAAGATTACTAGAAGTAATTCAAGCTATTTCATTGAGTGTTTTTTTTTGTAAATTATAACTTAAACCACTATACCACAGTATTTCTTTAGTTAACTAAAAGGAATACAAGGAAAATTCCAACCAGGAACGTAAGTTAAAAAATTATTTCTTATTTTAGATTAATACAAGCAATTAACGCCAAAACTTATTCGTTTATGGCTTGACCGATTTAAGAGGAAGGTATTGTTTTATTACTGAAGGAAAATTCATGATCAAAACATTAATTAATTACGCGTCATATTCATATATCATTATTTGTTCGCGCCATAACAATGGTATACCTATATGTACATGGTATTATGTGTGTAGTTCGTAAAAGCAGAGACGGAGAATTTCTAAAAAGTTGGGACAATCCTGGTGTGAACGTGCTGTCACGCGTGAAGCATCCTCGGAAACGACGTTTCTTCTGGCGTTAGCTTTTCTGTAACGGTCGTCCACGTATAAAGAGGCAGTCGACACGCAGACAAATTGAAGAATTTGCAGGTAGTAGCAGACGATACGAGGGAGAATGCTCACGGTACGAGACTCAGGCTAGCTGAAACATCGCGTGATTCGAGACTTTTTCTTTACTATATCCGATATTATTTTCTTAAATACATAATAATCGGCGAAAAACAATGGCTTTATTGTTGCAGACGGTCGTGAAGAGTATCGCCAGGCGCTCGTTTTCCACTTCGAAATGGGTCGCTGCACAGCAAGTAGGTTTTTCTTTTTTGCTTCCGTGAAAAAGATTTTGGAGCGAACATAACCTCTATGTGAACTTCTCATTAAACACTTATTTACTACGATTTATTTGTTATTCCTAGTTCAATTATTCAATATTTGTTTGACGAACGTAAATGCCATACAGATTATTTTGTCATTGGAACGCTTGTCATTTGTTAATATTTGAACAAAGAACGCATTTTATTGAAGGACGAGGAAAGGTCAATAATTTTTCAAATTAAATTGCTTTTTTATGACATAAAACTACTTGATTTCTTTGTCTATTGTGCATCATTTTATTTTGTTCCATCAGATAAATTATTAGTTAAGTGCCAAGTGTCAGATGAAAATGAAGCTACACTGTAGATTGAGGTTCTGTTTTGTGCGACTCTTATCCTATTTACATTGTAATTGTGGGTAATCTAATTTTTGTCAGTTTAAAATTGTAATTCTAATCATTTGCTGTAATGAAATAGAAAAACTAAAAGTAATTTTTTATGTAATAATATTAATTGTAATAATATTTAATCTCTAGTTCTGACATTGGTGTGGATGAGGAAAACTTATCTATAGTAGTTTGAGATGAACGTTAATTGAATAAAGTGAATTTAAATTTTCAGATGACAGTACGAGATGCATTAAATTCTGCTATGGACGAAGAAATGGAAAGAGATGAAAGAGTTCTTATATTGGGTGAAGAAGTTGCCCAATATGATGGAGCATATAAAGTCTCCAGAGGTCTTTACAAAAAGTATGGTGAGAAACGAGTGATTGACACTCCTATTACAGAAGCAGGTTTTTGTGGTATGGCTGTTGGAGCAGCATTTGTAAGTAAAATATTTTGATACTGAACTATGCTGTATTTTATTAAATATCAAATATTATTTTTTCTTACAGGCTGGTCTCAGACCTATTTGTGAATTCATGACCTTCAACTTTGCTATGCAAGCAATTGATCACATTATTAATTCAGCTGCAAAAACCTTCTACATGTCTGCTGGAAAAATAAATGTGCCCATAGTTTTCCGGGGTCCTAATGGAGCTGCTGCTGGTGTAGGAGCTCAGCATTCACAGTGCTTTGGTGCTTGGTATGCCCACTGCCCAGGTTTGAAGGTACTAATTATTTAATGTAAAATAATTTCATAAATTAAATTATATGCCGATTTCATATTTACAAAATATTTTAGGTCATATCGCCGTATAATAGCGAGGACTGTAAAGGTTTACTCAAGGCTGCCATTCGAGATCCCGATCCAGTAGTATTCTTAGAAAACGAGCTGCTCTATGGTGTTCAGTATCCTATGTCCGATGAAGCTCTGTCCAAAGAATTTGTCTTACCAATTGGAAAGGCTAAAATCGAACGTGCAGGCAAACACGTGACCTTGATAGCACATTCCAAAGCAGTCGAACTAGCCCTGGAAGCTGCTAATCATTTGGCTGGACAAAGTATCGAGGCTGAAGTCATAAATCTTCGATCTTTAAGGCCTTTAGATATCGCGACCATTGTACAGTCTATTGCGAAAACCAATCATTGTGTTACCGTTGAACAAGGCTGGCCTCAGCATGGCATTGGAGCTGAAATCTCGGCGAGAATCATGGAAAGTAAGTTGATTCAATATTCAATTTTCGTTTATTTTACTACAGAAAGATATTAATTGATCAACAAACTTTCAGGTGAAGCTTTTTATCATCTTGACGCACCAGTGATCCGTGTAACTGGGGTTGACTGTCCAATGCCATATGCAAAAGGTTTGGAAGCAAAAGCATTGCCTGTAGCATCAGACATAGTTGAAGTGGTCAACAAGATTCTGAAAATCTCAAAGTAGACACAGCGTGACGCAAGCATAGGAGCAATTACTGTTGAATCAATTTTTTAAAACTTCACTAGTTCCCTGGTCCACTCCTTCACACTCCCTTAGGTCAGTTTCAATTGTCTTCTCCTTTCTCTTACCCCACGCTGCTTTTCGTGACTGAAAAGCTTGTACAAATTTGTATTCAACAAGGAGTAATCGAAAATGCTTAGAATGTTAATAACTAGGAAATTTAATAATTTACGAAACGAATAATGCGAAGCAAATGTGAACTAGTACCTATGATAATCGGTGCTGCAATATGAAACTTGTTTTCTTCGAGATTAGCGGCGAAGCAATTATAATTTACTTTTTGAAAGTTTACGCGTGATCCCACAACCTCGTCTTACGATTCGAATGTTTTATTAAGAAAATAATTTATATTCAACCTTATACACTGAATTTTCAAAAGTTAATGATTTGGTTATTTTATTTATTTAAAGGTATACCAAATAATTTTTTAATTTTGTTTTAAAAAAATATTTTAATGCAATGAGAATAGTTGAAACTGTGAGCAATCAGGAATCTAAAAAAACTTTATTACAAATTATTTTTAGTACCTTACCATGTTAGAGATTATAAAAAATATTGACCTTCATTCGCAGAGGAAAAGGTTTTATTATAATGTCGATGATCAGCTATGTAAATTTGAAAAAAGAAAAGAATCGGCACACGTGCTCACAATAGAACTTGTGCGCCGCATTTGTTTATTAATTATTTATTACATAAAAATAAAACAAATTGTAATATATGCATCTCGAAGTTTTTTAATTTGATTATTCAATAAATTCTATATTCTGTATGCTTTGCTTCTCCAAATCAAGTTTCTCTGGATTTAATTGTCATGTGTGATACATGCGCAATAAACAACACGTTACCACCTTCATGAAACGTTCGAACGCATCTCTCACTTCGGCTTCCCTGTTAAGTAAAATTTATCAGAATACTTCTATTAAATAGTCAGCTAGTTCATTTCATATATTCATCTCATTACCTTAGTACGTCCATATCGAGTGCACATTGTGTAAATGCCCCGAGAAAATTACGAAGGTCCGTGTGTGACCAATTGACTTGTTTCCATGGCTCAATACATCGTTCTACTAGCTCTAAGAAGAAAAATCTTAATTCCCGCGTACGATGTAGATTGCAAGCTATGCCTATTATAGCTCTTGAATACGTTCTGAAGTTTGCATCTACTTCTTGATATACTCTTTCTAATAGCAAAGGTTTCAATTTAATACATACTAAGCTGAAATAAAATATTATCCATGAAAATTGACAAGTTCTTTTTTCCAAATATTAGACTACTTACTGTTTATGGTGCTTTTCATTTTCTAAGAGTATTCTACATTCTGGCAATTCTAACAAAAATTCTCTATCAAGATCTGTATCAAAATATTCAGAACCAGTATATCGGTAAGTCCAATTACTCATCATACTAATGGCACAATGAAGAAGATCAGGGAAAGTTAAATATTGGAGCTTTCGTTTAGTCATTTCAAATCTTAGACACATAATGAACACGACCGCTGCATATCTCCTGGTAAATTTCAAGATAATTTGCTTTTCAAAATAAAATTTGCCTAAAGGTTTTGATTTGTGTATGACCTACTTAGCTAATTCTTCAGGAAGTAAAAAATGCTGTTTTATATTCATAACTAGGGAACCAGACAAATCCTCAACAACTTTAAATATTCTTTTAAAATTGTCAAATTGTCTACGGCAACTCCTTAAACTGACTCCAGTCTTTTCAGATACTTCTTCCAGCTCCTTTCTATTCTTTGAGACAAGCTTTTTACCAAGCAGTTCTCTAGCTACACTATCGTTAAATTCATAGTACCTACAATAATGCGAATGTTAATAAATGTACTGAAAATATTTAAGCTAGACTAGTCTTACATTTCAATCAACATTTGACTAGTTTGTGGCTCTATCTGAAAGGCCAGCTGTTCACACGCAAGTTTCGTTGGAGTGTGCAGTAGCTTCTCAAGAAGAGAATAAGTACGATAATGGTCCAGAACATCTGAAGCAAGGAGTTCGACTGGCGTATTCGTTTGTTGACATACTCCTCTCTGTTGTAGAAGACTAACTGCGTCACTGGCTGTAATGGCAACCATACAATTACAGAGCCAGCAAGGAAACAGATAAGTGCGTAATCAAAATCGACTGACTTATTATAGAAAGAAGATTTCGATTGTAGTTGAAAAACTTACACGAAATTCCATCGACCCAAAGTTGATAAATTTCCGGATCAACCAAAGTGTAATTGCTTATGAACACATCAACCTCTGACAGCATTATTGAGGTTATGTTTACGAGATGTCAGTCGTTCATTGGTGAATAACCAGTTGAGAAACGCAATCGCACTTGAAAGCATCCATGGTACGAAAGTGTAAAAGGAAAAGTTACGTACTCAAGGATGCATATCTGAAGAGAGTTGGGAATGGTAACTAAATGCGGAACTATTTTTAACGAGCAACGGTGCTCCCGAATCGAGAATCGAGAGTAGTAAAAATGCTTACACTTACGCAGTAGCATACACGCACTACGACGACGACTGCGTTGTAAGCGATCCGCGTCTGCGCTTTAACAAGCAGCGCACTGCGAAACGAATAAAAATCGAAAGAGGCCACGGAGTGTCTGTTTACACACACGGTCTTTGCTGTATTTAGTTGTTTTTGCCTCGCGACTACGATTCATGAAAATGAAATGGAGGCTCGATTGGGCGTGCGCACTTGCCACGGATTGCCTCGTACGTACCGAGAAAACGGATCGTCGCGAGCGATTCTTTCTTTTAATTCGACATCCCGAATTGTCTCGCGGCGCACCTCGCGCGCAGTTGTTTGTTCGAACTTGCGGTGTAATCGCGAGCTTATTATCGCTTCTTCTCGGCTAAATGCTTTGTTTACACGGTCTTCAAGTTTGCGCGCGCGCGCGCGGGGCAATCTCGTTCTTAATTAAAGCAATCGGCTGCCGATGGACTTTGGACTTTGGAGGGTAGAGTAACTCGTGTGTGCGCTTCTGCGGAATGTCGGATTTAATTAGCAAGTACACATACGTACGTACATACATACATACATGCATACATACATGTATATGCGCGCATGAAGCGTATACGTTTAAGTACGCAAAGCTCATTACACGCGCGATCGCCTAATTGAGGCTGTGTATACAAATACAAGCTTAATTAATTAACAACAGCAGCTCGCTCCGGGCATTCGCAAGCTCGAGAGCGCTCTACGCTTTACGTGGCTTTCTTATCATTATCATTGTAGAGTCACTATGACGTACCCGAAATTTGTTCCCGCGGTCGTACGACCGCACCACCACCAGGAGTGCGAGGCGATCGCGAAACGCCGAACAAATGATTAATAGACGCTTACAAATTGAAACTATTCGGCAAAAGGAACGACGTCCCGATTTCAACGCGCTAACGGTCACGTCCGCAACGCGCGCAAGCTTACGTGCTAATTGTCACCGCATCAATTTTTCAACGTACACACAGAGGCTTCATAAAAAAAGTTATGCGCTACAATCGAGGAGGCAATAAATAAAAATTAGTTAGTCAATCGGACGCGCAGCGGACAAGGCTTGCGCAAGACACTGTCTCGCTTCGAATAAACGGGGAACCGCTGGTCGACCGTCGCGTCGCACGAAACGTTTCGCGCAGTGCGTTGCGTTCGAATCGAAGCAATTGGCGCGTCTGCGTCGCAAAGAGTTCCGAGGGCAAATACTGCTTTGTTGCCGGCGAAGAAACAAAGAGGCGACGGAAAGCGCGGAGCAAGACAGGCGCGAAATCCGCTGATCGGGGGGGAGCTGCCGCTCTCTCCCGGTCGCGAGTGGCTGCGTTTCGATTCATCGCTCGGCAGCTTGTCCTCCGCACATTTCTCAAAAGGACCGTGCAAAGAGCAAACAATTTCGTTGCGCGAGCCATTCTCTCGCCACTGCCGGCGCCCCCCACCCCCTCCCCGCCCCTATTCGCCCGTGCGCGCTCGCTCCGGACGGAGAATTGCCCCAGTTTTCTCCGTAAAATTCCTGCGTCGTCGTGCTCTCTTTCCCTTCTGCCTGCAAAGAATGCGAAATTCGTCGTCGCGCTGCGCCGCACAAAGGCAAATCTCGCTGCTTAAATTACTTTGTCGTCGGCGACTCGTCGTTGTCTTATGTCTTTCTGGCTTTTTGCGCGAGCGTTGAGCTTCTCCCTCTTCGTTCGCCGGGAACATTCCCGCTGCTCCGCGAGCGCTCAGTCGAACGGCGAAAGCGCTCACATGCAGCCGCAAGCCTCGACGACCATGTTGGGCAGGGTCTTTTGCGTGATGGTGTTGTTCGAGTCGACGTAGAGCAGCTGAATGGGCGACAGTTGCGTGGGCGAGCAGCACGGCACGATCTCGTTGCGCCGGTGCAGCGCCTTGCCGCGCGCCAGCAGCCTCTGCAACACAACAACGCCGAGCATTGTTCGTCAGTTTTTCCATGGTCGGGCGCGAATCTGCGAGCGACGCGTTTAACGTCGGGGAAGACTCTCTCTCTCTCTCTCTCTCGCGCGCGCGTCAACGTCGCCGGCAGCTCATCTCATTAATCAAAACGGATACGTGACATGCGCAGCTTCTCCGAATATCAAGCCGTAGCACGCGCGCGAGCACTGACGAGATGTGCATCGAGGTGCGCGTACGTCGTTAGTAGCGGCGTTTTTGCCGTTCTGGCGCTGCCCTTGGCGCTGGCCGAGCTTTTTATTTCGACCGATGCTTGCGTGCGTCTCTTACGAGTGCGCGCGCGGTCATCGATTTGTTTCGCGAGCTCCGGCGACGCTACGTTAGAGGCCGAAATTCCCGCGAGCAACGCAACTATGAGACGTTGATTGGCGGCGTGCTTTCTCTCCTCGCTCGGCCGAAACGATCGCATATTCACCCTGATGACGTCGTTGTGATGCGAGCCGCTCATGGTGAGCGAGACTGCGGTGGAGCAGGAGCCGCGGCAGAAGTAGGCGTGATAACCGCTGGGATGGAGGATCCAGTCGCTCCAGCCGATGTCCTCGAAGCTGATGTACAGCTCGTCGCGACAGCACTCCTTCATGTCCGCCTGGCAGTTAGAGTTTCGCTTGGGACGGTATCGCTGCGGCAGCGGCGTCGTCTGTATTACCAGGAACGGCTTGAGCGTCGACTCCGTTGATACTGGCGCCGTGTTGCGCTCGATCGTGCAGGTACTGCACGCCACCTGAATCGAATGGTTCAGTCGCTGCTTCTCCACCCATTTGCGCACGGCGAAACTTACGTCCGTCTTCACCCAACCCTCTGCGAATCAAAGTGGCACTTTGGAAATCGGATCGAACGTAGCCTCGATTTCATTCAACGAGTTTCGTTAATTAGGGAAACATCAATCGGGAGGGCAATTTTCGTACATACTCAACATTCATTTTCTAATCCATCGAATTTGCATAAAGAAAAATATCTTCGGCCTCGTACATCAGCAGCTCATTGCGATAAAGTGAAACGGAGGAAAAACTTCTTCTTCCAGATTATTGCCCTCGTACAACTTGCTACTTGCAACTTGCTAATTTTAGGATGTGCGCTCGCGATGTACGAATACTACACGATATTCGGCGATAAGAATTTGCTGGATTCGCAGTGCACTAATTTTGAAAATCAGTTTCGTAGACGTATTCGTAGGCAAATATATAGTTGTGAAAACAGATGCGCCAAATTAGTACCACGAGAATTGCGCGTATCTAATTTATTGCAATCGGATTAGAAAGTGATATAAGTAATTTCTAATCAATTCGATTTTCCATATTTGACGGGTAAATTCGGTTGTAACGTCCTTATCGTCAATAGACGTTGTGACAAGAGCACATATGCTAGATGGTATCACGTGGCAAACGTCGACTGGATGGAAATTCAAGCATCAGAGTAATTAGGAAGACAAGTTAATTAACTGTTGATTGTAGCAGTGCAGCCGCGGTTATCTACCGTGAACATATGCTACAGACAGAAACTTTGTTTGAAATTGACAATCTAATGGTAGCATTGATACACTTTTCTTTACAAAGAGAGTTTTATATCTTAACATACTGGATAGATAGAGAGAGAGAGGGAGAGAGAGAGAGAGATAGACACATAGAAAGAGAGGGGGAGAGAGAGAGAGAGAGAGAGAGAGAGATAGACACATAGAAAGAGAGGGGGAGAGAGAGAGAGAGAGAGAGAGAGCGAGAGAGAGAGAAAGAGAGGAGAGAAAGAAACAGAGTTTACACTTTTCCTAGCAATTTTTTTAGACAATGAATTACTCGATAAACAAGTTGCTTTCGCATTCAACGGCAAATTTATTGAGTTTCTTAATTGAATCACGTTCTATCAATTTTTTTTTATTTTGATGATAAATTTAATAAAATAGAATATCCAATGAAATTTTTCCGAGAAGTCAAATTTTCTTTTTCTAAAAAATTATCATCTGCAAAATGGAAGGTTAAAATAGAGAGTATAGCAAACGTACCTCCGATGGTCGTTTCGAAAATTGCCATAATAGTGTTTTTCTCGAAGCTACCCCGTTGATCCCAGTGATCAAGCTCCGAAAGTACGAAGGTCTGATTAAAGCTGTCGTTCTTGTCCTCTTCCTTGTAGAACCAGAGTTCGGCGGAAGTAACGCTGACAAATTGCATCTCATTGGGCAGGAAGAAGGTGAAACACGCCGCGGGGTTGAAACCCGTTATGTGATTTGAGCTTTGACGACATTTTTTCGAGTAGGGTATGCCTGCAATTAATCAAATAGTTTCATGACTAATTCTATTTGCATAGTTTTGAAAATAAAGTGACAAAAAATAATATTTTTCTGATTACGGACACTCGGCAAATTGGAGTTGTCAAAATATGCTGTTTCGTAAGTTTTTGATAGGCAGGGTATGAATAATTTGTTTAGATATTTCATTAAATATTTCTATGTCGTATTAGTCATGGAAAATATTACGCAATATTTGCTAAATAAGACCGACTATGAATTTGCAACTTTTACCCTTTCGCGATAAGACAGATTCGTTAAATTTGTTTGAAGATTAACTATTCTACAACTACAAAACTGTCGCAATGTTAATTAAGTCGATTTGAAAATCATGCTCGGGTTATTTCAAAATAGACTGATTTTTGTTACAGTATAAAAGACGAAAAACGTGATTTGATAATCGTTATCGAAGTAGTTACATTAGTATTCATTCGGCAACCTTCAATCTTTTTGCTCTGAGATAAGTCGTTTGAGCACTCATTTTTATCTTAGAAGAAAAGCAATTACGATAAAAAAAAAATCACAAATATTCCAATAAAAAAGGAGTAGTAAACAGTGGTCAAACGATACTGGTTTTGAAATAACGAATACGTCCCCATTGAGCACTCTAGACAAAGACTAAGCAACCAGAAATTAATTAGAAGCTTCGTTATCATTCGTAACTTGCATTCAACTAAGCAATATTGTAAATAATAAGAGCGTTGAAAAAGTAGCGATGCTCTGGCCTAAGTTACAGCGATCATTTTATTCATGAATAGCAATCTGACATTGACGCTTCGATGGCCGTCGTTCGAGGAAATAGTCGAAGAAAATATATTGTGAATCTTGAAAAAACAAATGATACGTTTAATTAATTAGACAAACCGAGCGAATCTTTTTTTTTTTTTACGCGAGGTACGTGTCGAAATGGCGAGTTTTGCGAGACAGAGAGAGGGTGAGATCACGGATGTTTATTTACTCATGCGCAAGGCGGAACTCGATGCCACACACGCCGCGACAGATAACCGCGGCCTTATACGCCGCGAGCGTCAGACTCGCGAGGATTTCTTCGTTTGCGCGCGACGTCTGTAGAGACGAGTGTGTGATTGTCGCCGAGCAGACGGAAGTGCACTCGGAGAGTCATTAAAAGCTCGCATTAATTTTGGGGGTATCAAAGGAAGAGCGATATTCCGGGCGAGGTGGGGGTGGGGGTCGGGGGGTGGGGGGGTGGGGAGCGATCGCGTTCACTTCGTTACGCCGAAATTCGAGCGAGGCTCTCGCGGCAGAAGTGCGCTCGCTCCCTCGCTCGCGGTATTAGTTTGAAACTCGAGGCCGCGCCGCACGCAACGCGATATCACTGCCGCGACGCGGCAAGGCGCTCTTTTCGCATCGCGGCTACATTGGCGAACTTGTCGATCGAGTTTGGAGCCGGGAATTAATGAGCGTCGCGCCTGCGTCGACGGCCAGCCGACGACGGGGAGAGCTCGATAAGCGGTTACGGCAATAACGAGGAATGCCGTCCACGCCGAATTGTTTTAACGTCGTGTCAGTGGACTTTGGCCACGATTGTGATGGTCGTCCTTCCCCCTTCCTCGGCGAGCGACATTATACGCCGATAAGATACAAGCGCATACTTATGGCTCTCGTAATGGGTGAAAAAAAGAGAAGAACTTTGCGGATGCGTACTTGGTGTTACTCAATTTGAACTCGGCGCGATAGGCTAAGACTGCGCTGACGTTATTTACTTGTAACCATAGAGAGACGAGGGAACTCGAAAAATATATATATATATATATATATATCACGAGTGAAAATTAGAAATCCCGGGGTCAAGAGTTCGATTCTGCGCAGCGGGCTTCGCGGAATAATCACGTTTGATTTATTAACCTACTGGTGTATCTCGGCCGCGCTTATTGCTCGGATTCCGCGCTCATTCCGCTTAGCCGCCATTTTTTCAGCCTCGCATTTCCCATAAAGCAATGAGTTGCGAGTCGACTCAAAAGTATCGCTGGCCGCGTAAGCACTCGCAAGCCGCGTGATCGTTGTACTGCACTCAAGGTTCCAACGGCGAGAGCTAATCCGTCGCGAGAAAGAAAAGGAAAAAGGAAAAAGGAAAAAGGAAAAAGTAAAAAGGAAAAAGAAAAAAGAAAGCCGAGGAAGCGGACGATCGTGATCGGTAAGTTCCACGACATTCAATAACTGGTTGGCCGATACTTGTTTACCACGCTCGGATATCGCCCAGCGCAGCAAAAACTCATCAAGCGAATAATAAATAACACAAGAGAGCGTATTGTAATAATTTTCCTCGCGCTGGATCGAGAACAAGAGGACAAAAGGCAACGTACTCTCATCGGGAAAGACGACGATCTGGTTGGTTTTGCCGTAAAAGCTCTCGGCAGGTATCTGAGGCTCGAGCGGCTCCCCGGGCTTCAGCTCGAGCACATGCCCGTTGACCAGCGGCTTGGGCAGCGTCGAGATCGACAGCGACACCTCCGGCGGCTTCTCCAGCCGGAGCTTCCTCAGGATCTGCTGCTTGACGTACTCGACCCGCAGCTCCGTGAGGATGGGGTCCTGGTCGAGCTCGGCCTGCACTCGGTTCTGGGCGCAGCCGCGGCACTCGTCGTCCGGCGCGGCCGGCGTGGCCGTCGACGAGGACGGGTCCGCCGCCGAGTACAGGCTCAGCCACATGCTCTTGAAGGGATTGGTGACGCTCGTCCAGGACGCACTTGTAGCCGCTACCAGCAGCAGCGTCAGCACCAGCTCCTTCATCCTGCTCCCGCTGCTGTCGCGCCGCTCGCTGTCGAGTACTGCCGGCCGGCTCGGCGCTCTGCTGTCCAAGCGGGCACTAGGAGGCTGCGTAACCTTCGGCCTCTAAATCCTCTGGCTCTTGCTGGATCATCCTCGCTCGACTTTCGCTCTCGGCCGACTGACTCTCCTCTCTGCCCTCGGTCGTCGCTCGGGCAGCGCGCGCGCGAGACAACGAGCGATGCCGGAGTGACGGACAGAGACGGACAGAGACGGACGAACCAGCAACGAGCGACCTTTGCACCGCCGATAGTGCCTCTCTCTCTCTCTCTCTCTCTCTCTCTCTCTCTCTCTCTCTCCCCGTGCATGGACACGCGCGAGCTACATGCTCTCTTTCTCTCGCAAGGATTCCTACCAGTAGCGGTATCGATTTGGTTTTTCCGACGCCAGGCCACAATTCTTCGACCCACTGCTTTCGCTCGCTCGATCTGCATCGTGTCCCTAATTGTCGACCGGCCTGTACGGATTATCCCCGCTCTCTACTCATATAAACTTGATAAATTTTATATCGTTAGATTAAAAATATGTCAGTCATTCAATCTACTTCTATTAATAACTCACGTGTTACGTTCGATTTACTACGTAGCATTGAAAGTAACGACGTATTTGGATTTATCGATGGATTAACGCTCGCCAACGAGGCAAGCGAGCACTCGTCCGACGACGAGCCACTAATTTTCCAAATTCTAAATAGCCCCGTAAAGTACAGACCGTGTACATAGCTGCCGATCGTTTTTCAAGAGCACAGCTCGCAGCGATTTAATTACTTTGGAACCGCGAGACTCTGCGACGCTGGCTCGCCGGCGCATTAGACTTGGTTAATTATTGACGGGGCAGCGCGCCGCGCTAATGGTGCCAAAGATAGCGCTTTAATTTAATTATCGGGCCGCGCGCGCGTACGTGAAATTCGGAACGTACACCCTTGCCCGCGCGAGTTCACCTTATCGCGGACGCAGCAAAATAAACAAAGCCGCGATGGCGGCCCCGTTCGGCCGGTTCCGAGTGCCAAACAACTGCGCGCCTTGTTTTCCTCATTGGTTCGACGAAGGGAGCTTTCTCGGGCGCGAACCGCTGGCTCGCGACCGGTTGACTCGCCTCCTCGACAGCGCGCCCGAAAAATCGGCGCGGGGGAGAGAGACGCGTCGCGGCGGCGCCGGGTCATCGTCTCGTCGTCCGCCCCGCTGAACGTGCACGCGTGCCGATCACGTGGGCAATTTGGCGGCGCGGCGCCCAGCTCACGTCCCCGGCACGCGGCGCCTCGTGATTCACCGCGCATCCCCGAGCCACGACTTAATTGATCGTCGACCGCGCGCGAGTTCGCTCGTGCGTGCGGTGCGGAGCTTCCCAACTGATAATTCCGCGCGCGCGCGCGCGACGACGATGACGCTCCCGCTGACGCGGGTCACGCGCCGCGAGTGCACGGCTCGTTCGTCGCGCGAAATTATCAGTCGCGCGCTCCTCGGTAATTTGGCTGAAATTACGGTGAGCCGCATCCACGTCCGCTTTGACAGTCAGCCGCGCTCGCGTAAATAATTCGTCGGCAAAAGGCGCGAATAATTGATTTGCTCGCGGAGCCGAAGCTCGCAGTTGAGCTTGCGACGGAGAACAGGTAAGGCAGAGGACTACTCTTCTGCGCTCGGCTGAGACGAATGAACATTTTCGCGATCGTTCTGAGCCTCGTAGTATCGAAAGTCGTTGCGCGTCGGCTCGACGATTTCGCGGTTGATTATTTTCTCTACAAGCGAGTAGCCAGTGTCGTCGTACTCAATCTCGAAATGGACCAGGGTACGTACGTATGTCGCGTGCACCGCTGATGTGATTGACGCTGCTCACGAAGAGAGCGCTTTGCAGATAATCTGTCGCTGATGCAACGACTGAACTACGTTGGCATCATGACCTCCTCTGCCAAAATATACCGAGATATCAATATCCATTCCTTGGCCAATACCCAGTACCACAAGGTGGGTGTTTTCGTCGATGGGCAGCGCGACGCAAACAGAACCTTGTATTCGGCACTTTCCGAGGTAAATACGTCTCGCGATGAAATTCCACGCGAGAACGCGAGAGGAACGCTCTCGTCGTCCTAATGGAAATTCCCTTTTGTAAATGAACAATTGAAAAAGTTACGAAAAGCAAACGTGACAGGCTGGCTGCAATCGAATGTTCGATGAGCTACATCATTGGCTTGTGATAACTGCCGCACATGATAATTTGAGAAGCCTGATCGATGACAGTAACTTCGACTTATCAACGGACTTTGTTCTGGCCGTAGCGGCTGACGGCTATAAAATGTACGACCTCTACAATCCCAGCAAAGCCCATGGCTTGAAATTGAACGTCACTTTTATGGGCACCTGGACGGAGGAACGCGGCCTGCGGATTCTGTTGACGCAAAGCAAATACGCCAGGAGAGCCAATCTACAGGGAATGATTTGGAGGGTGGCTTACCTAACAGTGAGAAGTCGCTTTGTAAGAACGGAAATTGCTCGTAGAAGACAATCTAATCGAGGGGCTGTGCAAATTAGAGCAAGTACAAACCGAGCGGCGTGCTGCTGGAAAATCATTTGAAGGATTTGGAAAAGACCGGCACCAAAGACAATCTCGCGAAATTCGGCTACAGCGTGGTGAGCCATCTGGCCGAAAAGCACAATGCTACGTAAGTCGACGTACGGCCCGTGACGATGCCGCTCCACAACGAAAGCGTTCGACTGTTCGAAGGATGGTTTTGCGACAATACGGGCTGTGGAGGAAGGGCGACACGGTCGGGCCCCTCACGCGGGCGTTGCACTACGGCGAAGTCGACATAACCGGCACCGTAATCAGCGTCACCGGGGAGAAAATCCACCTCGTGAAATTCGTCTACAACGTGTGGCCGTTCAGGTGAGCCTCTCTAGCCACGTTGGCACTGCTCTGCCTCGAATGTTTTCTTGGTTCCAGAACGTGCTTCATGCTCCGAAGCCCGCAGCCAAATGTCATAAAGATGCGCCAGATTTTCGGGCAGTTCGACTCGAGTGTCTGGCGCACGAGCGCGCTCGTCGCGTTGCTCTCCTTCCTCGGTCTGGCGCTGACTTTTCATCTGAGAAGCGCCAAGTCAAGTTTCGCGCACTGCTCCGACTCGGGATTGATCCTCGTGGGCTGCATTTGTCTGCAATGTAAGCGAGTGACTCTCTCTCTCTCTCTCTCTCGTTTCTTTCTCGCTCGTTCGAACAGAATCACAAGCGGCGGCGTTTCAGGCACTCAGCTCGATCTCAACAACCTCTCCACTCGGGTGGCTTTCCTGAGCACGATGCTGTTTAGCTCGCTCATGTACAATTACTACTCGGCGAGCGTGGTATGCGCTCGATTGAGCGACACCATTGTAAAGATGCCCGATTCGCTGCTCAGCTTGGCGCAATCCAAATTGACCGTTGCCAGCGAGCCGATGATCTACTTCGATTTCCTCATGAAGGTCTTGCAGCTCCAAATTTCGATCGTCACGGACAACATTTCAATGAACCGTCTCTCAGTGCAGGATCACGGAAGGGACGCCGATTACTTCAATAGAACCAAGTGGCAAAAAGTCCCCGAGGCAGACAAATTCATGTTGCCGGAGAAAGGCATGCAGCTGGCAAAAACTGGTGGCTTCGCTTATCATACTCACCCAGATGTCGGATATCCCTATGTTAATCGATTGTACGATAATCGTCAGACTTGCGAGCTCACCGAAGTTCACCTTGGTAGGCTGACCTACAGGTCTATAGCTGTCGCTTACAACAGCTCGTTTGCCGAGATTGCAAGGGTGGGGTGAGTTTTATCGATCACCCATTATCCGTCTTTACGTTCATCAAATGTTAGTCATGTACGAGAGAAATTACGTTGATCCTTATACAGTTACAGTTGAAATATGTATGCGTATAATGTCTTTCCCGTAAAGTTTTCCGTTTGCTCAAAACTAAAATTAATTGCCAAAGGTTCGCTTGGATGTCTGAGGTCGGAATTCGACATCGTCAATTGGTTAAATGGACGTCCAGGAAACCACGTTGCCGGAGTGACATTCTCAGCGCAGCTAGTATAACAATATACGAGTTTGCCCCACAACTGATAATATTATCGTTTGGTTTGTGGCTTGCTATGACAATCTGCATCGGTGAAATTATTGCGGATAAATATAATATGCCCAGCTAGGTTGCTAGAACAATCGAATTCTCAAGAATTTTCCAATACCTCATGCTGTGCAACAAAATATACGATGATCCAAATAGTTGTTGAGTATAATAAATATTTGATTGATGACAGTATTATAAAAATAAATATAACCATTAATTCCACTCTCCTTTCTCCACGTCTAATATTTTCACTAATTTTCGTGATTTTGCGAAAATCAACACACTCGATTTTTCTTTTTAATTATTCTTTTAATCTCCCTTCGCTCTTACATTCGACACTTGCTTATCTTAAATGCATAGTTATAAATGTTTGCTTATATGAATTCTTAATAAATGGATAACAAGCACTTGGCAAGCAATCAAGTTTGACAGCTTTTGACATTATACGAGAACGTTGAATATTGCCGACGAATATGTGTTTATTCACATCCTACATACTTACGTACTATTGATGTTAACACTTCTGTTAACTCGATATCGATCTGCCAGAACTCTATAGTACAACATAAAAAATATATAAAAATGGAAATAGTAGGTAAATTAACACTGTGCTGAAGCATCGTATCTGATTGTAAGAGTGAGTGACGTGCAAACGAAAATAATATATTCAGGAGTCGTGTTCTGTTGGTTTAAGTTCAATTTTAGCGCAGTAAGCATTAGTCGCAATATTAATGTAAATAAACAATCAATAAGGAAGCTTATTGTTACTGGGACAGTCGTCTCAAGCAGCTCGCGAGCACTTATTTCTGGAAACATCAAAGGGGTCGCGCACGATGATCAGAATCAACATGATGTTGATCAGCTATCTAGTAGCAAAAGTTAATGCTGCTGATACTAACCAATTCATTATTGATTACTTTTCGTACAAACATGCTTCGGTGATTGTTGGAGCAACTTGTAATAGCGATAACGGTACGTTTACCACTTACATGTTTCAGATTATTAATATATTTTATCTAGATTTTTAAAATATTTTATTGATCACGCGTATTATAGAGAATCTATTACTGATGAGGTATTTCAGCAAATTAGGCATAACAACAATTCTCACGAGATTGAAAATCGAATCAGATTTCAATGTTCTAATACGTGCAAAGTATCATAAAGTCAGCGTGATTATTGATAGTCGCTGCTACGATGCGCAAGTCATTTTCTCGTTGTTGAGAAAAGTGAGTTAGCAATGAATTCTTCCTCAGTGGTTACCTGAAATCAAGCGTTTACGCGGCAATTTCAGGCTGCGATCGAAAGGCAGTACAACGAGATGCATCAGTGGCTGATCATAACATCGGAGACGAAAGGTTTTTCATTTATCGACGACGACAACTTTGACTTGTCAACTGACTTTGTTGTCGCGGTGTTCCTTGATAAAGAAGTCGTATTGTATGATCTGTACAACGCGAATAAAAATCGGGGTACTAAATTGAACGTCACGCTTTTGGGTAACTGGAGCCAGAGGAGGAGTTTGAATGTGTCACTGACACAGAACAAATACCGCAGGAGGTCCAACTTGTACGGGATGATTTGGAGAGTAGCTTACTTCACTGTGGGTATATCATATGCATTTGAATTATAAGAAATCTCGCTATTGGAAAATAATGAGTGTAATTATTAACAAGAGTAAATACAAGCCACCGCACGTGCTACTAGAGAACCATCTGCAAGACTATCAAATAACCGGCACCAAAGACGGCCTACCGAAATTTGGTTACAATGTCGTTAGGCATCTTGCCGAGATGTACAACGCAACGTGAGTCGCTAAAAAACGATTTATTTTTAAGCGTGATATTTGAAAATTCATTGGCCAAAGGGTATTGTTGCGGCAATATGGCACTTGGAAAAAGGGCGACAGATCGGGACCGATGACACGAGCACTCGAACACGATGAGATCGATATGACAGGCAGTCTCATAAGCGTCATTCCGGAAAAGTTGGGAATCATCAAGTTCGTTTATCCAGCGTGGCCTTTTAGGTATTGATATTTTTGATCGATTTCATAACTAGCCTACAAGAATCAAACTATAATCTGACTACTGACTGACAGGACTTGTTTCATGTTTCGGAGTCCACAGCCTGACAACATAAAAATCCACGAGATACTTGGGCCTTTCCAATCTGCCGTTTGGTACTTGACGATCACGATTACCATCATGTGCGTATTCTGCTTAGCTCCGACTCTTGAAGAACGTAACAATGTCTTGAGTTGCTACTCAAATGCTTTGCTTATAGCCATTGGTTGTATCTCTCAGCAATGTAAGCACGTTATCTTTAAATCTCTGGCGTATTTACTGTACTGATTTGCACGTCTCTGCCCAAGTTTAGGTACCAACACAGCTTTAAACAGCTTCTCAACGAGGATAGCATTTTTTAGTATGATGCTCTTCAGTTTAGTGATTTACAATTACTACTCGGCTGGTATAGTGTCAGTGCGCCTCAGCGAGACGGCGATCAAGATACCGGATTCGTTAATTACCCTAGCAAAATCCACACTAAGCGTCGCGTCCGAACCCATGATATATTTCGATTTTCTCATGAAGGTACTCCAATTAATTTCACAATTATACAATCTAGTGATTTTGTAATTTGGCCATGTTATTCTCCAGGATCACGGTAAAGAAGCGGATTTCTTTAATGTGACCAAGTGGTGTCGTGTCCCGGAAGCTAACAGGTTTATGCTGCCTAATAAGGGAATGCAATTAGTGAAGGATGGCGGTTTCGCTTACCATACTCATCCCGACGTGGGCTACCCGTACGTGAATCAGTTCTTCGACAATCAGGAGATCTGCGAGCTGACCGAGGTTCATCTAGGAAAACGTGTGCTAAGATCAATCGCCGTCACTTACAACAGCACTTACGCCGAAATCGCCAAGACAGGGTAAACTGTTACGCGGATTTAGAAATAAAAAAAAAAAAAACGAAACTTCACCGTGATCGGTGGACATTAGCTTGTTCTAACGACAACTGATTCGCAATTCATGTTGCCGGCCATTTCCGCAGGTTCGCGTGGATGTCGGAGGTCGGAATTCGGCAACGCCAGTTAATGAGGTGGACGTCGAGAAAGCCGCGATGCCGAAATGACATTCTCAGCGCGTCTAGCGTCACAATTTACGAATTCGCCCCCCACCTGATACTACTGCTGATGGGCCTGTGGCTTGCCCTCCTCGTTTGCATTGGCGAAATTCTCGCGGGCAAGTATCCAACGATCAGCAAGTAGTCGCATGCGTCGTCGCGCTTCAAGCCTCGAAGCACTCTTTCATTTGCGTTATCTTCATCTCCCCTAATCGACGTTTTAGACTGACGTCAGCACGAACGATTTATCCTAATGCGCCAGTTGACAAAATTGAAAGGTGGTTCACTCTCTAATGAGGCGTAACATGTCGTGAAAATATATTTCTAAAATAACTGTATTTTGCTTAATTAAACACTGTGTACGTCGTCAAGATAGAAGTAAATGCAGGCTCATTCCCACTTGAACGAATATTCATTATTCTACTACTATCGACCCTATCGACCAATGAAATTCGAGCAAGTTATGCCGAATCGCATAGTTCATCTTCAAAAGGCATTGCATATCCTCAAATCTAATTTTTTAATGCATTATTTTATATTTAAAGCTAAATTACACAATCGTTCTATCTATTTTTTCTTCGATTGATATTCAAATTATCAATCAATAAAACTAAGCGCATTCGTGGCAATTATAACTTGAGCATATTATTTTTTATCAGTTTGTTTTTATAACGAGCACTATATTTAAAAGGCTATTTCAAGAATATTATCTTGTTAAATACAGTTTTCTCAATTTGCGTAACAACCAAATGATACATGTCGACATACCACATAAAAAATGAAATTATGATTATACCTTACTTGAGTAACATGCAACATCTTTCCATTTGTTACATTATGTGCTTGTACAACTTAAGTGTTGTAATTTACTACATTCACGTCATAACACTTACTGTGTTCGTAAAAAGTAACAAAATGAGAAAATTGAAGTTATTACCTTGACAACGTTTGTGCAGAAGTGCAAATTATGTTTGTTATGTGTAGACTATATAACAATAATACGAAAGCAATGCAACTGCTATTGATTTTTGTGAACATATTAATAACAAGTATGACAATTAACGTGGAGAAACACTTTTTTTTGATTATTTTTTGTGTACAAAAACGTAACGTCAGTGATGGGATTTAGTTGTAACTATGTGGAGAATTTATCTATAAGTAATTTTTTTACGGTATTTTTTCCGTTATGAAAATAAAAATTGTTCTAATTGATTAATTTCTTTATAGATTTAAGCTGATATTATATCTGTACGAATACTTAGTGAATTAAACATCGCAGCTGTTTTTGGAAAATTTAAATTTTCAACACCAAGCAGCTTGTTGAAAGCTTAAGTTTGGAAATTCGGAGTTCTATTAAATGCACGTTGCCACGATGCAGTCGGTACTTCTGAAATTTTGTCTGAAGTAAACGATTCGGTTTATTTAATTTGAACATCACAAGTTCATATCCTGGGATGATTTTCTCTGCCATGTTTATAGCTTCAAATTATAGATTATTTGACGAAATTCACAAATGTCTAGTGCCATTCACAAATCTATCTCACCTAATGTCTATTATTAACGATGAAAGTTTCGGCCTTTGGACTGACTTTGTCGCTGCTATTGGCAACGATTCCGAAAGTTACATGCTCTACGACATATAAAATCCATATTAACGTCGCGGTGGTAAACTAAATATGTGACCTTAATGGGAAGTTGGACACCGAATGATGGTTTAACTATTATTCCGAAGCGAAGCTAATATCAGCGAAGAAGCGATTTACATGGTATGCCTTGGAAAATAGGAATTCTTGGGGTAATTACAGCCTTCAATAAAACGTTTTAAAAACATTTTGACGCATAAAAATTTAATTCTTGTGCCCTATTTATTCGTCAGAGTAAACACAGATCAAAAAATGTTGCTTTAAAGGACCATTTGCAGGACTTTGAAAAAACTAGAACCAAAGATAATCATCTTTAGTAGTAAAAGTAAAATACACAATTCGACGTAAATAAGCATGCATATCATTCGAGTATCTTCGAAAGCA